GGGAACCTACATATAAAATTTTAGAAAGGTCCCTCTGGTACTTCTTTAGAAATACCGATAAAGGACGGACGGACGACAGACGCACGGACCACGGACGCAGGTGATTTGAATAGCCCACCATCATCTGATAGTGGGCCAAAAATCTGGGAATACCTTACACTGCGCTGAATGACAATACTATGATCGGAGAACTTTGGTTTTTACCTTTATAGAGTCAGCAGATAACACATAGCCTAATTGTGTTTGAAGTTTTCTTTCAAATTAGAAATGTTATGTAATAAATAGAATCTTAGATTTGTGTTCCTAAGGGCAGGCTCGTGTCATATAAAATTATTGAACTCGTCTAATAAATTCAATATGACAAGAACACGAATGTAAGAAGTAATATCCTCTATATACAAATTCTACTAAAATGTCTAGGAATATGACAAAATTTGTTTCCTATTAATTGGATCTCTTGTAGGAGTCGCCTCCCTTTACACATAATTTCATTTTCAAAATGCCATTGATATAATCATTTCAACAAGACAATTCCAGCTTTTCAGCTTAATTTGTGATATGCATATCTTCACATGATTCTCATCAAAAACAAATCTTTTGAGATTTGCTTAAAAACTGTGATTCTTGTTGTTGCAGCACAATGTTTTATAAACAGGCAACCAGATAGACGAACGGACAGGGAGATAAAATTACACTCAGTTTTTGGAGAGAGTACAAAAAATCAACACACAAAATATATTTTACCATTATTATTTTTTATTTAAAAAAAAAAAAGAATAATAACATGATAAAGAAAGTGAGGATGACGATGAGATGAACCTATGGAAATACAGTGTTTGGTTTGTCTGATCTCCTGTCCAGAATGTGCTATGTTTGTAAACATGACCCCTTAACAGCTTGCTAATATAGGTAAAACATTTTCAACGGTGACAATCAGTACAAATTTCCTCTAACAGTTTCCTTTCAAGAATCTTTCACTTGTTAAATTGATGAAATTGATTTTTATTGAAAATTAATCATTTTAGACATGATATGTTTATATGAAATACTGGTGAAAAGTTGCACTTTTTGAAACTTATTTACTTATTTTGAAACATGAGACCCAGTGGGCCTGTGTTGCTTAAGTACAATTGTCCTTGGTTTTTATATTTTTTGTGTTCACTCTTTCCAATTATGTCAGCATTATTTTTAGAGATGTGATCAGAATTTTCATTTTATTTATCATTTTATATTACTAAAAATTAGAATCATAATACTTGAAAATTTTCACTACAATTTGCTGCAGACTTACTGAAATAAATACAAACTAATTTCATAAATTTTATATGATTAAGGAAATGAAAATTCATGAATGTTGACAATAGATTAGTTATTAGAAATAATAAACCGTTTATCTACAACCTACCTATATAACAGGACTGGAGACTATACACTGACTCTATGGACAGGACACCAGACAAGTCTAATGTTACCTTATATATGAAAGTTGAGTTGTGAAGCAGCAATCTTGCACAAAAATAGCTATGATAAATAATTTCAATCATTGATATGCTTGTATGCGTGCAATTAATTCATCAACTAAACATTTGTACAAAAAGACTGACCAGAAATACACACATGAACTATCTTATATTGAAAACCACCCCAGAACTCGTGAACATGCAGATACCACCAGCCAATCATATGCATGCACACAGAAATCTATCTTTAGACAAAATCTGTCATGATATTCCATACAAAAGCATAAAAATATAACTATTAAAATATTGTTTTTACAATGAGTGCATGCTCAATGTCATGCCTTCAACTCTGTCCACTATTCCATTATTTCCAAACTGAAGTCTGCAGTTTGTGAACATAATGGAACCTGGCTAGACTTGACACTGTGGCTTATGTATATAACAGATCAGTTAGTCGGATGGTCATGTGACAGATGATGGGGCTGAGATTACAGTTTTCAAAATCTTTAAGGATGATAATCGTGAAAGTATGTGTAATAGTATTAACTTTTTTTCAAGTCGTGAGATGGTTATTCTTGATGAAGTCCGATCTGCTATCATTTCCAGCAGAAATGCCTAATACAGATTTCTATGTAACGGAGCACCTTAGACAAAAGGTAATAATAAAATGTTTATAACTTACAACAGGCAAAATCACACAGTCAAAACACATGTTTGCTTCGTTGGTCAATTTCATTTGATTTTACTTACTGGTGTTTTTAACAATCTGAAATATATTTCTATGAAACCTTAACAGTACAACATACAAGAATATTCATCTATTTGTTTTTTTATTTATCTATTTTTATTGATATTCAAATATTTGAATTCAATAATTCAACAACTTAACTACAACATGTTTGCAACAAAAATTGAATACTTACATTATTTTAAAATAAACTATAACTGAATTACCTTAATCATCAAAACATTTATTTTTCAATAGAAAAGAACTCTTTGATTTAGACATAAGAATTTGAAATAGTGAAATTATTTTGTATTGCAGAGATGCCCTTAACTTATTACACAAGAAGAATTGCAGATACATTTGAATGGAGAAAAATTAAACAAGTATACACTGTAGCTTCCAAAAGGACAGGCCGGGTTAACTCATTCACCCCCTGAAATTTCATAATTAACTAGTCCAACCTTTGAATTGGAAGAGTTCAAATGCATCTTCAGGGGTGAATGAGTTAATGAGACAAGTTAGAAGTATATGTACAAATAATGCTCGTTATACTGCGGTGACTAGATTGCCGACGAGAGTCATGATTGCCTAGTTCATTGAAAATAAAACACAAAAAAACAGGGAAAATATCGCAATGAAACAACTTATTAAATAAAAAATTATAACATTCTGAATGGCAAGTGTACAAGATATTGGTCTTCAGGAGTTTTAAAATGAAAGAGATAGTGAAAATGGAAACAAAAACTTGGATAACATAATGAAGGTTGGAAAACCTGAAAACAATTAACAAATTTCCTTTCCAATACAAAAATTTACATATCTAAAGTATCGAAATGATTGACAAATTGGGTATGAAATAGATTTACGGCAATATCAAGAACAATTGCCACAGATAAAATTTCATGATGACATACAATCACATGAATGTTCAGCACACTATAAATAACTGGTTCCTTCAGATATATACACACGTATAATACACTCCCATGTACATCTCACAGCGTTAAAAAAATACAAAAACTTCCTCTTTTGCCGCCTCAAAATGTAGATCAGCTTGGAAGAGAAAGTCAAACTATATTCCTCAAAACCACAATATTTGCGTAATAATTATCTTTCAAAATTCAGGCAAAATCAACATGTAATAAATTAACTAGTACTACTTATATAAAGCACCTGCTAAAATAGTTCACAAACATTTAACCTTGGTTTGTGTATATTTACGGTACTGTATTTGCTTTATCGCCATAACTTTTTGAATGTGTATATATTTACAGATTTGCTGTAGCGCCTAAACTTTTTGTATGCATATATTTATAGTACCATATTTGCTGTAGCGCCTGAACTTTTTATATTCTATTTACGGTACCATATTTGCTGTAGTGCCTTAATTTTTTGTATGCATATATTTACAGTACCGTATTTGCTGTAGTGTCTGAACTTTTTATATTCTATTTACGGTACGGTACTGTATTTGCTGTAGTGTCTTAACTGTTTGTATGTGTATATTTACCGAACCGTATTTGCTGTAGTGTCTTAACTTTTTGTAAAGTATTTTTACAGTACCGTACTTGCTGCAGTGCACAGACTTTTTGTATGTGTATATTAACGGTACCGTATTTGCTGTAGTGCCTTAACTTTTTGTATGTGTATATTTACGGTACTGTTTTTGCTGTAGTGTCTGAACTTTTTATATTCTATTTACAGTACGGTACTGTATTTGCTGTAGTGCCTTAACTTTTTGTATGTGTATATTTACGGTACTGTTTTTGCTGTAGTGTCTGAACTTTTTATATTCTATTTACAGTACGGTACTGTATTTGCTGTAGTGCCTTAACTGTTTGTATGCATATATTTACCGTACCCTATTTGCTGTAGTGTCTTAACTTTTTGTAAAGTATTTTTACAGTACCGTACTTGCTGTAGTGCACAGACTTTTTGTATTATATTAACGGTACCGTATTTGCTGTAGTGCCTTAACTTTTTATATGTGTATATTTACAGTACCGTATTTGCTGTAGCGCCTCACCCTTCTTTGATAATACATGTCATCTTCTCTCATCCTGCTGCCAATATGTGGGAATGTTTACCTCTACTGTTGTTGTTGATGGCTCCCCAGCAAGGAGCACCAATATCTTTATTGATGGCTCCCCAGCAAGGAGCACCATTATCTTTATTGATGGCTCCCCAGCAAGGAGCACCAATATCTTTATTGATGGCTCCCAATCAATGAGCACCAATATCTTTATTGATGGCTCCCTAGCAAGGATCACCAATATCTTTATTGATGGCTCCCCAGCAAGGAGCACCAATATCTTTCTTTATTGATGGCTCCCAAGCAATGAGCACCAATATCTTTATTGATGGCTCCCTAGCAAGGATCACCAATATCTTTATTGATGGCTCCCCAGCAAGGAGCACCAATATCTTTATTGATGGCTCCCCAGCAAGGAACACTAATATCTTTATTGATGGCTCCCCAGCAATGAGCACCAATATCTTTATTGATGGCTCCCCAGCAAGGAGCACCAATATCTTTATGTAAGAAGGGCATTTAACAACAACCTGATATGGTGACATTATCATAACTAAATAGAAATTATCTGTCAAATGCTGAGAAGACGTTTATCTTCAAAGCAGAAAAACAAACAAATTTTTTGTTTTAAAACAATTGTTATCAAGTGTCCCAATATTCCGTCTTTGCGTATTGCAGAGTTATCTTCTCTTGGGAGCAGGTATTGATTGTTACGTCACTTGTTTGTGAGAGTAACGTCATCAATTTTTGAGAAAACGACGTAATTTTCTCACACAAACCAATGACGTAACAGTCAATACCTGCTCCCAAGAGAAGATAACTCTGCAATACGCAAAGACGGAATATTTGCAAATCACATGGGCACCAAATACAGCCAATACAGTACTGACTACTATATGTATTATCAATTGTTTTTCTTGTTAACCTTTAGCTCTAGCGGCACCTACAGTATTATGAAATTTGGAAAACATTTCGCCAAATACATTTTACGACTGAATGATTTAGATGAGTTATTTAATCAAATTGCATTTTGTACTATTATATTAGAAGTACTGAGATGTTCATCATTGTTGAAGAAGCTTGAAAGTATGAATAGCTTTAATCCACATATCTACAATAACGATACTGACATACAAACTATAAACTACATGTAGGTCAAAGTTCACAACCAATGATATAAAGAGTTAACAAACTAGAACAAGGAAAATTAACCAAATCATAGTTTCTCATAAGCTACTCTGTTGCTATTTTACATTTTCTAAATAAGCTGGTCCTTATATTTCATTTCATTGAGGACACGGATAAATTATTTCTATCTATAACCAATTCTACCATGGCAAGTTCAAGATCATCAGATCTTATACAAATATTATGCTCTTGTATGTAACATCTCTCTCATTTTACTACAGTGGCTTCCACGAAGTGTAATATCCAAACGTATACTACATTTATTAAAACTTACCAGAATTGGCACTTTTCATCCAATAAAACATTGAAGTTAACCTGGACAAATTAAATAACAAAAGACACCTTTAAATTATGCTATAGGTACTGTGTTCCTATTCCCAATTCAACAATTTTTACCCGAGTATCTAAGTAAAATAATGAAGGTTCCTGTTTTGTAATAAACGTTAATGTCATATTCCATTTAATGTAACTTACTTTCCCTTTAATGTAACGCTTAGGTAATGTCATATTCCTTTTAATGTAACTTACTTCCCCTTTAATGTAACACTCAGGTAATGTCATATTCCTTTTAATGTAACTTACTTTCCATTTAATGTAACACTTAGGTAATGTCATATTCCTTTTAATGTAACTTACTTTCCCTTTAATGTAACATTTTGGTTAAGTCATATTCCTGTTAATGTAATAATTACCTTAATGTAACATTTTGGTTAATATAATATTCCTGGTAATGTCACATTCCCTTTAATGACACATTTTCATTTATGTAATATTTCTGCTAATATCACATTTCCTTTGATATAACATACCTGTCAAAACTGTTTTAGTCAAAGTAACAAGTTCAGACAAACAGGATATTACAATGAGCGGATTCCACTGTTAAGTAAGCAACAACAAGATGACACGTACCGTAGATTAAAATCAACTCTTAGCTATACCAACAAATACAGCCGAAGACAAACTTATTACAAAGGACGCAAAAAACTTTGCATAATTTACACATGGTACCAATATTAAAAAGAAATCTCAAAGCACCTGAATTTCAACATAATCATAAGCTTTAAAAGCCACGTATATGACAAATTTACTTGGGGGAAATGTTTAAACACATTCTCATCATGCATCAAAATTGTTTGGTGATGATGATATAAATTAGCGTGGAATATTGCACACATCAATTCACAACCACACCGCTTAATTAAAACTCCTTTGAATTACCGACCAAACTTGTTATGTGAAGGACAACAGTCTAAATTGTGTCTGTTACACTCACACACTTCTTCTTATGTATGAAACTCAAGTTTTGAACATTTGAAAACAATGGAGACGGATGAAAATATATTTTCTATAATTCTATATCAACCCCAAAAAAATTAAGAATGATAAATTTTTCTGAGACAATAGTAATGAAGAATTACAAATTAATATACCCTGTAATAATCAATCAGAACAGTTTCTGTAAAAGTTATTGTTATGATTGCTAAAACGTTTCTAATAATGGTTTTTAGCATGACGGTTAAATATCATGTGTTCTCTCTTGGTCTTTTAAAAGTAAAGCATGCTAATTGCATTGATAATAATGGGGGAAAAAGTAAAAGCTTGGCAGTGCAATTCAAGATAGTGGCTTAAAAGGATGACCGTGATGATACTATGATGACAGCAAGCAAATCTTTAAACTTTCTATGACAACATGTACACAAGATCATTCAAATACAAAATCATTTCACTAATGTAAAGACAAACCTAAAGATGTAATTTAAAGCGATATCAACTACAGACCATATGATCGTCAACCAAATACAAACTGTGGTGAATATATTTTATGAGAAGGCAAGACTTGAAAAATACAACTTCAATAAAAACGATTTTTTTTCTCTCAAAATGTATCAAAATATTAAAAAAAAATGTGATGCTTTAACATGGCAATCTGATGATGATGAAGGTGAAGATGGAATACAATGAAATTCTGTTCCTTAAAATATGTGCATTAAATGACATGATGAATATTCATTTAGGGTGATACTTACTTGTCATTGTTTATATATATATATAATGGTATATATTGGTGCATCCTGTTGCCAAGGTGATATGAGATAACTAATGAGATCATTTTTTTTTAAACAGAAAATAATGCACTTATCAATATTTTTTTCATGATGAAGAAAATAAATTTATAATTGATGTCATTCAGTGCTGGTTAAATTGAGAGCAGATAGACCATAGCAAATATACTTCTGTGATACACAATGAAAATTACAACTAATTTAATTATGATCAAGAAAAATGGTTAAATGAGGAAGAAATAGGTTATGTTTTTTGCAGCCTCTGGTACCGTGCTATTTGAATATCATTTGCATGGAGTTGGAACATTTCTGGAATTAAGTCTAAATGATGTATTATTTGTGTTCGACATAATGATACAGGTGATGATTTTTGTAAGCATGTCATTGGTCAATATATCATTGGTCAGGTTTCACACATGGAAATGGCAAGGTGTGATTTTGAAAATTCCAGTTGAAAAACCCCTTTCCAATATGACTACAAGATGCACCAAAGTTACCACACTCAAGTAAATAGGTACTATATGTTATATAGCTGAAATTTCTCTGGGCACATGGTTTGGTCCATCTGTATATCAAATCTATCACCCAACTTCTATTTTCTTTTTACATATATAATACACTATAACTCTCTTGCTCTCTCTCTTCTCTTTATCTTTCTTCAAATACAATAACCACTCTTTACTTCCTTTTTTTTACAACACTATCTCTCTCTTCGCCATCTGTCTCTCATACAATCTTTCTGCTTTCATTACACATATACAATACATTACTTCCTTCTATCTACCTTTCTCTCATTCAATCTTTCCATTTTCATTTTACATATATAATACACTACCTCACTCTATCTTTTTCTCATCTGTCTACTTTCGTGTTACATATATAATACACTACCTGACTCTAATCTCTCACATAACCTTGCTAACATTTAATGAATTTGAAATATAAGTAGCATCTTAATTTAACCTATATAAATCTATCTCTTCTTGCCTTGATATGAAGGAATATATCAACGCTTTATCCACCATTAGATTCTGACTACATGCATTGGCTAAGTCTCTCACTGCAAAAGTCATCTTTACCAGTCTGGATTTTTTTCTTCCTGAATACAGTATTTTCAGTATTTACTCTATCACTACGCTCAGTGGAATGAGTCAAACATCAAAATGTGTTCAAGGACAACCTCAAAATATTACACAATATTATGAATACTTTTCATACACTAGTAGCAAGCAAGGTCATCAATTGACAACTCTGATACTGGTCTCTCATCATTGCTTGGAACTGACCATTTTGATTTATTTTTTAAATTATTTGCACAACCATTGTATTCCTGGGAACATGAAAATATGTTCCCTGGAACAATCCCCACTATCCTCCAATTGGACTTTGTATACCACTGGAATGGTCATCAGTCCATTAGTGTATTCAGGGGGGAATCACATACATTTAATTAAAACAAATATCCAGTGGGCTATATATAGCACCGAGCACGTTGCCCAGTAACACACAATATGAAGTCACTTTCACTATGGATGTCAAGTGCGATATCAAAATAAGACTTATCTCCCTTTAGCTTTATACAGTTGAACAATATATATTTATCCAAAATATCCAGAAAACACTGATGACAAATGCAACTTATTGTTGAATGGTAGCACACAGCTGACTTTGTTGTGGAGCGAAGAATGCTTAGCAAATTGTCATTTTCACATCCAGAACACAAAACCATTTAAAACAGTTATGTCGAAATACAGCCTGTATCAGTCTGACACATGTGTACAAGTAAAACGTGTATAAACACACATACACACATACAAAATGAGAATTGTTGCAGGATACGTTTCTCCTAGACAGATGTGTCCCTGACTAGAATCAACAACTACCTCCTGTCTATGATATATACTTGCTACATATTTTTTCACAGTAAAATATCTTTGGTTTCTTCTATGATAATTGTGTATATCTTGACTTTCTTCCACAAATTCAGTAAAGATTTGATCACACACAGAATGTTGAGGAATGGAAATGCACAATTTCTCATGTCATTAACTTCGGAGTTAAATGTATGTTGGTATGATCACCATTTGAACATACTGACCCTACGAACGGGAACTGATCTTTCTTTGATCAGCGTACAATACATGATATAGCACTCTGTTTTAATCGTCCGTAACACACGGATCAGAATCTTTTCAAGATGCACAAGGTGTCCATATGTCACCTAATTTCACTGTTAAATGAGGATCTAAGAATTGATGATTGTAAATAACTTCTCCGAAGATTGAAAACTGGTTTGTGGGCTACAAAACAGCGTCCATGAGCACATGATAGATGAAGCCTAGGACTGCTGGGGTCACAAATGGTCCTCAGTGGGAACTGATTGGTACATGTCTGCTAGTTTGGAGAACTTTGGTCCCCAGTCATCTAGGTACTCGTAGTCCTGGTCCCCGCCACTGGAACTTGTGTGGAGTGAACTCAATGACCCCAGGTCGCTGTCCCCGCCCTCGTACGCGAACTCCATGACGTTGTCGTGGGGAGGAGCATTTGAGTCACTGTCAGCATCAATCAGGCGGTCTTCTATGAAACTTCCAACATCTGGAGTCTCACCAGGGCGCACTTGAAAAGAAAAAATATTTATATTGAATATTTTCTGGTACAAGTTTCAAATTTTATGATATTGCATTTATTTATTTTTTTGATATATTTAAATTTTTGCTATTCAATTTTTTAGAGATATCAAATAAAGAAATTAAAAAGAAAATATGTTTTGCTTATTTGTTTTCAAAAATTTCATTTTTCCACAAAACATTCTCAAATGAATTTAATCATCATTTTAATATTTTATTTAACTTCCAGATATTTTCAAATGCTAGAAGAGAGTGTAGGAAGAGTCAAGTATAACCTACATTCTGGATTTACAATGAGAATATTAAAGAAGAGTAAAGAAAACAACACTTACTATACAAACCTTTATCCGGCCTCCCCTGGGATGGTAGAAGGAAGGGCTGATCTGGCTTACGTAAGCCAGATATGTCATATCCGTCCTGATCCTCTTCACCTGGAGGTCAAAGGTCATATTAAGTTAAACTGAATACACTCAGTTAAATAATTTTCCAATAAAAATAGTGCTTGCTATGGAACCACGAAAAAACCCACAACAGATTTAGTTTACAAATGCTCACAAAAGTTTGTACCACAAAATCTAAATAACTTCATACAATGAAAGAAAGTACCCACGAACATTTAATGTTACACAGTATCGATATGTAATGGGTGTTGTCATTTTCATACTAATTTATCATACACAAAAAAGTGAGAATTTACAAAGACCATAAAAATGTCCACCTTTACAGCAAACAATAATTTACTGTTTCATGAAATGTGTACATATAATACTAGCATGTATACAGATAGTGTTAAAATAGTCAATGTTGCGGTTGACTGACCTGCCCCTTCCTCGTCGTGGTCCATGACATTCTCGCGGATGTCGTCGTATTGGTCATCATACAAGATAGATTTCTCCGTGTCACACTTGGTCAGTTTCCAAACCAACAGGAAAACAAGCATCACGATCACTGTAACAAACCAATGAATCACACCCAATCTTTATCAATATATAAACTCAGATCAACTTCTCTATACTATACCATATTTGCTGTAATAAGTACCCAGTGCACTTGAAAATTTACTTGAGTCAGCTGCTAGTGTAAAGGTAACATATTCCCAGGGAGAATTTAAAAACTATCTTCTTTTTTCTCTGAAACACTGTAATATAGTCTTGTCTGAATGCAAGATTGTAATGTCTGATATAAATTGTATATATCCTGATTTATTGTAAACAGGAGTGGGCCAAATTGTCTCTTAACACAGGTGGTCTCTTAATAGATCTAGAGGTGGTCTCCCTAGCAGGTTTGACTGTTCATGCAATAATTTCAAAATCTATACAGAGCTCTGGTACTTGAGATCCAACCTGTATGTCTGGTAAACGTTGGTTGAAATGTTAACTCGAGATCCAACCTGTATGTCTGGTGAACGTTGGTTAAAATGTTGTCTTTTTTTAAGCCTCAATATCCACAGGGAAAGGTGGAGGATAAACTTACAGTGACGATGCTGGTATCATACTTACGTGCGACGGTGAAGATGCTGACGATGATAATGACGAGTGCTTCTGTCGTGACCCCAGCTGGGATGACCTCTGACTGCGCCTGTTGGTTACAGAGTGTACCTGTCCATCCTATGGGACAGTTACACATGAAGGTGTCTGGGTAGTCGAGCTCTATACATGTTCCGCCCGAGTAACAAGGGTTGGGTTTACAGTAGATAATCGGGATACAGTTCTCCGCAGTCCCAGGCTCACTGCCGGCTGGACACCTGTAGAAACAGTAATAAAATGTTAAAAACATAAAAAACATTATGGATGGGCTAGTAGAATTTTGTGAAATGTTACTGTACTTTGTCAAGCCCTGCTCCCCTCCATGATTTAGCTACAGTCCCTATCAGCCCTGCTCCCCTCCATGATTTAGCTACAGTCCCTATCAGCCCTGCTCCCCTCCATGATTTAACTACAGTCCCTATCAGCCCTGCACCCTTCATGACTTACCTACAGTCTCTGTCGCCCCAGAGAGGCACACACTCTTTACTGATTGGGATGCCACTTGAACAGAGGTGGCCCGTACAGTCGTTGTCACGGACACAGTTCATCTGGACATTGGGGTATAGGGAAAGGTTTGCTGCAGGGCTGTGAAGGTTTTCTTCCACGCGCATCGGGAACCACAAATCATCCACTCGGATATCTGTGATGCAGGCTGGAACGGATAGAAGTATCATATCTTAAGTCCGGTGGACGACAATTGATCATTATCTTTCGAGACATATTGTAGAATTTAATTCTACTGGAAAAATAAATATCTGTGATATGCAATGTAAAACTGGAAACATTGTTTTCATATAACATAAATCTCGCTAAATTTATTTATTTATTTTTCTTTTTAAATTACACAGCAGTTATTTCACCAAGGTTTCATTGTGCAACTGTACTCATGATCAGAAAAAAATCTGCAAATTCTTAGCAACCATATATTATTCTATTTGCCAATATGGAAAAAAAAAAACAGCAAAATCAATATCAAAGATGAACATGAAATAGAAAACATTTTGAAAACCACAACATTGTCCAGGTACAACACTACCCAAGATCAACACAACAATATTACTTATATCATTTTCCAAGTTACCTCCCCTCATCCAGTTTATTAGCGAGAACAAAAAGTATCTCTCACTTACTGTCTTTGAGACCACGTTTATCAAATGAGGGAGTTGCATCAAACACAACGCGAGCTCCAGCCACAATCTGGTCACTCCGCAGACTAAACTTCTGACTCTCTCCGAATTTGCCCCAGGTCTCGTTGTAATAACGACCTTCCCCTCCATCCATCTTGAGCTGGAACCATTTGCCAGTGCGAGTGAACTTGACATGATGCCACTGTCCATTGTTGGCTGGGACAGACGACAGAGACAGAACGTTAGGCATCAGGGGTGCATCATGGTCCTTTAGGTTGTAGGTCACTTGTAGGTGATTGTTTACGATCTGAAATAGTTGTCATAGATACTCAGTACATCACTTCATAAACTGACATTAGGCTTAATTAATAGAAGTAGCATTTTTTTCTTAAAAGAAATTTCTGCACAATCATGAGTAAGGTTTTTTGTACAAATTTCCTTAAAACTTTAATGATTTCTAATTAATTTGGGCACCATTTCTCGGGATAAAATCTAACTAAGCCTTCATATTTTTGGGCATGTATTTTGCAACATTGTACTGTCAGTTTACAACCAAATATAGTCATCAGCCATTTCAAAACATCACAATACAAAAAAGGATAGATTCAAATGAAAGGTTAGTGAATCAAAGAGAGTTGTCTTCCCTCTGCCATTAATTCCATCTTCTTGCCACTGATTATCAAGGTGTCACCACAAAGTCCCAATTATAAAAAAAAAATACAAAAATACAAAACTTTCAGTTTATTTTTTTGTCAGTGTTAGAAATTTACCAACTTTGTACAGAAATGTGCCAAGAGGACCACACCTCTAATTTTAACATGTTAAAATGTTTAAAACCACTAACAGTCTAAGACTACAATGAAGGTATTCTATTCAACATAGCATTCTATGTTGCTATGACCAGAAGTAACACATAGCCAGTTAATTCAAGACAGTTTGTCAAGCACATTTGTATGAAAGTACCATAGTCTCACCTCTAGTGTAATGTACTCTTTAGACGTGGACGGGAGGTGGAGCAGAATTCCCCCGTCCACATCAGGAGTACCATAGTCTCACCTCTAGTGTAATGTAATCTTTAGATGTTGATGGGAGGTGGAGCAGAATTCCCATAGTCTCACCTCTAGTGTAATGTACTCTTTAGCCGTTGATGGGAGGTGGAGCAGAATTCCCCCATCCACATCAGGAGTACCACAGTCTCACCTCTAGTGTAATGTCCTCTTTAGACGTGGACGGGAGGTGGAGCAGAATTCCACCGTCCACATCGGGAGTACCACAGTCTCACCTCTAGTGTAATGTACTCTTTAGACGTTGATGGGAGGGGGAGCAGAATTCCACCATCCACATCAGGAGTACCACAGTCTCACCTCTAGTGTAATGTACTCTTTTGACGTTGATGGGAGGTGGAGCAGAATTCCACCATCCACATCAGAAGAACAACAGTCTCACCTCTAGTGTAATGTACTCTTTTGACGTTGATGGGAGGTGGAGCAGAATTCCACCATCCACATCAGAAGAACAACAGTCTCACCTCTAGTGTAATGTACTCTTTTGACGTTGATGGGAGGTGGAGCAGAATTCCACCATCCACATCAGAAGAACAACAGTCTCACCTCTAGTGTAATGTACTCTTTAGACGTGGACGGGTGGTGGAGCAGAATTCCACGGTCCACATCAGGAGCACCATAGTCTTACCTCTAGTGTAATGTAATCTTTAGATGTTGATGGGAGGTGGAGCAGAATTCCACCGTCCGCATCAGAAGAACCATAGACTTACCTCTAGTGTATTGTACTCTTTAGACGTGGACGGGAGGTGGAGCAGAATTCCACGGTCTACATCAGGAGTACCATAGTCTTACCTCTAGTGTAATGTTCTCTTTAGATGTTGATGGGAGGTGGAGCAGAATTCCACCGTCCACATCAGGAGTACCACAGTCTCACCTCTAGTGTAATGTCCTCTTTAGACGTTGATGGGAGGTGGAGCAGAATTCCACCGTCCACATCAGAAGAACCATAGACTTACCTCTAGTGTAATGTACTCTTTAGACGTGGACGGGAGGTGGAGCAGAATTCCACGGTCCACATCAGGAGTACCATAGTCTTACCTCTAGTGTAATGTAATCTTTAGATGTTGATGGGAGGTGGAGCAGAATTCCACCGTCCACATCAGGAGTACCATAGTCTTACCTCTAGTGTAATGTACTCTTTAGACGTTTAATGGGAGGTGGAGCAGAATTCCACCGTCCACATCAGGAGTACCATAGTCTTACCTCTAGTGTAATGTAATCTTTAGATGTTGATGGGAGGTGGAGCAGAATCCCACCGTCCACATCAGGAGTACCAGACACCTCTAGTGTAATGTACTCTTTAGACGTTGACGGGAGGTGGAGAAGAATTCCACCGTCCACATCAGGAGTACCATAGTCTTACCTCTAGTGTAATGTACTCTTTAGACATGGACGGGGGGTGGAGCAGAATTCCACCGTCCACATCAGGAGTACCATAGACTTACCTCTAGTGTAATGTACTCTTTAGACATGGACGGGGGGTGGAGCAGAATTCCACCGTCCACATCAGGAGTACCATAGTCTTTCCTCTAGTGTAATGTACTCTTTAGACGTTGACGAGAGGTGGAGCAGAATTCCCCCGTCCACATCAGGAGTACCCTAGTCTTACCTCTAGTGTAATGTACTCTTTAGACGTGGACAGGAGGTGGAGCAGAATTCCAGGGTCCACATCAGGAGTTCCATAGTCTTACCTCTAGTGTAATGTTCTCTTTAGACGTTGACGAGAGGTGGAGCAGAATTCCACAGTACACATCAGGAGTACCCGAGTCTTACCTCTAGTGTAATGTACTCTTTAGACGTAGACAGGAGGTGGAGCAGAATTCCAGGGTCCACATCAGGAGTACTATAGTCTTACCTCTAGTGTAATGTGCTCTTTAGACGTTGATGGGAGGTGGAGCAGAATTCCACCATCCACATCAGGAGTACCATAAGACGTTGATGGGAGGTGGAGCAGAATTCCACCGTCCACATCCGGAGTACCATAGTCTTACCTCTAGTGTAATTTACTCTTTAGACGTTGATGGGCGGGGGAGAAGAATTCCACCGTCCACATCAGGAGTACCCTAGTCTTACCTCTAGTGTAATTTACTCTTTAGACGTTGATGGGCGGGGGAGAAGAATTCCACCGTCCACATCAGGAGAACCATAGTCTTACCTCTAGTGTAATGTACTCCTTAGACGTGGACAGGAGGTGGAGCAGAATTCCAGGGTCCACATCAGGAGTTCCATAGTCTTACCTCTAGTGTAATGTTCTCTTTAGACGTTGACGAGAGGTGGAGCAGAATTCCACAGTACACATCAGGAGTACCCGAGTCTTACCTCTAGTGTAATGTACTCTTTAGACGTGGACAGGAGGTGGAGCAGAATTCCAGGGTCCACATCAGGAGTACCATAGTCTTACCTCTAGTGTAATGTGCTCTTTGGTGGAGCAGAATTCCACTAGTCTTACCTCTAGTGTAATGAACTCTTTAGACATGGACGGGCGGTGGAGCAGAATTCCAGGGACCACATCAGGAGTACCATGGTCTTACCTCTAGTGTAATGTACTCTTTAGTACCATAGTCTTACCTCCAGTGGAATGTACTCTTTAGACGTCGACAGGAGGTGGAGCAGAATTCCACGGTCCACATAAGGAGTACCATAGTCTTCCCTCTAGTGTAATGTACTCTTTAGATGTTGACGGGAGGTGGAGAAGAATTCCAATGTCCACATCAGGAGTACCCTAGTCTTACCTCTAGTGTAATGCACTCTTTAGACGTGGAAGGGAGGTGGAGCAGAATTCCACCGTCCACATCAAAAGTACCACAGTCTTACCTCTAGTGTAATGTACTCTTTAGATGTTGACGGGAGGTGGAGCAGAATTCCACCATCCACATCAGGAGTACCATAGTCTTACCTCTAGTGTAATTTACTCTTTAGACGTTGACGCGCAGTGGAGCAGAATTCCACCATCCACATCAAGAGTACCATAGTCTTACCTCTAGTGTTATTTACTCTTTTGACGTTGACGGGAGGTGGAGCAGAATTCCACCATCCACATCAGGAGTACCATAGTCTTACCTCTAGTGTAATGTACTCTTTAGACGTTGACGGGAGGTGGAGCAGAATTCCACCATCCACATCAGGAGTACCATAGTCTTACCTCTAGTGTAATGTACTCTTTAGACGTTGACGGGAGGTGGAGCAGAATTCCACCGTCCACATCAGGAGTACCATAGTCTTACCTCTAGTGTAATGTACTCTTTAGACGTTGACGGGAGGTGGAGCAGAATTCCACCGTCCACATCAGGAGTACCATAGTCTTACCTCTAGTGTAATGTACTCTTTAGACGTTGACGGGAGGTGGAGCAGAATTCCACCGTCCACATCAGGAGTACCATAGTCTTACCTCTAGTGTAATGTACTCTTTAGACGTTGACGGGAGGTGGAGCAGAATTCCACCGTCCACATCAGGAGTACCATAGTCTTACCTCTAGTGTAATGTACTCTTTAGACGTTGACGGGAGGTGGAGCAGAATTCCACCGTCCACATCAGGAGTACCATAGTCTTACCTCTAGTGTAATGTACTCTTTAGACGTTGACGGGAGGTGGAGCAGAATTCCACCGTCCACATCAGGAGTACCATAGTCTTACCTCTAGTGTAATGTACTCTTTAGACGTTGACGGGAGGTGGAGCAGAATTCCACCGTCCACATCAGGAGTACCATAGTCTTACCTCTAGTGTAATGTACTCTTTAGACGTTGACGGGAGGTGGAGCAGAATTCCACCGTCCACATCAGGAGTACCATAGTCTTACCTCTAGTGTAATGTACTCTTTAGACGTTGACGGGAGGTGGAGCAGAATTCCACCGTCCACATCAGGAGTACCATAGTCTTACCTCTAGTGTAATGTACTCTTTAGACGTTGACGGGAGGTGGAGCAGAATTCCACCGTCCACATCAGGAGTACCATAGTCTTACCTCTAGTGTAATGTACTCTTTAGACGTTGACGGGAGGTGGAGCAGAATTCCACCGTCCACATCAGGAGTACCATAGTCTTACCTCTAGTGTAATGTACTCTTTAGACGTTGACGGGAGGTGGAGCAGAATTCCACCGTCCACATCAGGAGTACCATAGTCTTACCTCTAGTGTAATGTACTCTTTAGACGTTGACGGGAGGTGGAGCAGAATTCCACCGTCCACATCAGGAGTACCATAGTCTTACCTCTAGTGTAATGTACTCTTTAGACGTTGACGGGAGGTGGAGCAGAATTCCACCGTCCACATCAGGAGTACCATAGTCTTACCTCTAGTGTAATGTACTCTTTAGACGTTGACGGGAGGTGGAGCAGAATTCCACCGTCCACATCAGGAGTACCATAGTCTTACCTCTAGTGTAATGTACTCTTTAGACGTTGACGGGCGGTGGAGCAGAATTCCACCATCCACATCAAGAGTACCATAGTCTTACCTCTAGTGTAATGACCTCTTTAGACGTTGATGGGAGATGGAGCAGAATTCCACCGTCCACATCAGGAGTACCATAGTCTTACCTCTAGTGTAATGTACTCTTTAGACGTTGACGGGGGGGGGAGCAGAATTCCACCATCCACATCGAGAGTACCATAGTCTTACCTCTAGCGTAATGTACTCTTTAGACGTTGACGGGAGGTGGAGCAGAATTCCACCGACCACATCAGGAGTACCATAGTCTTACCTCTAGTGTAATGTACTCTTTAGACGTCGACGGGAGGTGGAGCAGAATTCCGCCGTCTGCATCACGAGTACGGAAACTCATCTGGAGAGAAATCATCCTCTCCTGTAAGGTGTTGTACATTTCATTCTTCAGAACCCACGACATAAAACCATGATCCTTCAAGTCACGAACTGTTGTGTCTACAAAACAAAATATATAAACAGGGTGTGAAATTAAATAGGTTGAATACACAGAGTTAAAAGAACTGATTTGTTTACCATTTTAGCACCAAATAGAGATAAAGCAGTTGTAAAATAAATAAACACCGAGTCCTCTCTCGAACCTAACATTTTAACCTGGCAATGTTGTGCAAAATCTAATAAGGATCGAGCGATTTTATCAATTGTTGAAATATAACAGAACATCAAATATTGTTTTTCACTTTTCAATGAAAACAAAATTGTAATTGTTTATTGCTTTGTGTCGCAACTTTTTGCCTTTTTATCAGCCTTGCTTGCTACCTATTTGTATCACCTTTGCTATCCACTTGTATCACACTTGCTACCTACTTGTATCACCCTTGCTTTGTAGTTATGTCTCCCTTCCTACTTAATTGTATCACCTTTGCTATCCACTTGTATCACACTTGCTACCTACTTGTATCACACTTGCTACCTATTTGTATCACCCTTGCTTTTGAGTAATGTCTCCCTTCCTACCTACTTGTATCACACTTGCTACCTACTTGTATCACACTTGCTACCTACTTGTATCACCTTTGCTATCCACTTGTGTCACACTTGCTACCTACTTGTATCACACTTGTTGGATCCTTTGTACTTAGGTCTGTAGCCAGGTTTGCAGTGACATTTAAAGTCATTGTGGTTCCAGTGGACAAGTTCACACGTGGCGTGGGGCCCACAGACACTCTGCCGTCTCTCGTCCTCGCAATGCCGATCTTCTTGTGGGCAGTCATTCTCATGATTCAAACCTGGGTGGTTTCGGCTCGTGTATAAATCATAGAGCTGCAAAAAATATAATTATTTGTGTAAACATCACTGCAGTTAACTGCTAGATTAATCTAATCCCAAGGAGATTACTTTCAAATATGTAACATTCAACTAAAATGTCAATGAAAAGCATTTCAATGTCTGTTTCTTTCATGACTAAAGATAAACAAAAAGGCATTTGAACATCAACTTATTCATGAAAATGAAAGGAAATGCATCCTTTGTGAGATTATTGAAGAAAAATTCTGTCCTTCCTTTTTTACTTTACCTCTCCATTGTGGTATAAATTCCGTATACACCCAAAGAAGCTCTGATTGGTTATCCCCGTTGGATACGGAGGTGTGATGTAGCGACCGCCCATCTGTAGCATGGCGTTGACATTCAGGTACTTGTTACGTCCCCTAGTACTGCTAGTTATTTCACACGGCTGACGATCTTCACTGGACTCACTTCCGTGCTCAAACACAGATGCTTGGCACTGGTCTACCGTCATAGTGACCATCTGTAATATTGAAAAAAAATACAGATGAAACAGCATAGAATATCAATGTTGTTTTCGTATGTTATTATCTAAATGTCTATTTGGAAAATTTGGAAACAAACTCTAGTTTTTAAACACAGAACACTATCAACATCAACTTGGAGGAGTTTCATGGTTCATACAGACTTTTCAGGACAAAATTCCAGCATTTTTCAAGCACTTTCTAACAATTTGCCCGGTCAAATTTTTCGAAAACTAGAGCAGAGATTTTCTCTATTTAGTGTTCAGATACCATTACATTGAACTAAATACAAAGGATTCACAGAGGATTATAAATGATGGATTAACTGTTTATGATAATGTCATATCATCACAAACATGTATATATTGCAGAACTTTTAAGGAATATTGAACAAATTCCGGCATTCCTCCAGGATTAACTGATTCTTTTAATTGTAAAAAAACTAACACTTAACATAAAGAAGAATATTTGCTACAAGTTCAGGTTAAGTACCGCCATATCTAACAATCTAACATTTTAAAGGGTACTTCCTCACATCAAATGGTAACTGAACTTGACCATAGTATTGGAGATTGTACATCAGAGAAACTTTATGAAAACAGGCCCTGATCTACAAAATATGTAATGTTATCTTTACAACTCAACCCCTTAGATATCTTTGAGCATGTTTCATGATTCCCATGAAGTTGAATTTTACTGTGCAAAAAAACACTATACGGGCTCTTCCAAATTAACCGTAGGGGATGGATGATTTAATAAAAAAGGGTGGTAGGCAAATCTGGTTTTAACCCCACTACCTATGATATATTTTATACAGGTGCCTCCCCTTATGATAAATTACAAAATGGCTCTAAAGACTTACCCTTCCTTTACGGACAATGTCAATGTGGTGCCAAACACCGTCGTTGAGTTTCTTGAGTCGTGTGATCTGGTTTTTGTCTTTGCCATCAAGTGGCATCATGACCTTGCCGGTACCATGGTCGACCTGTAACTGTGGATACCCATTAATCAGCTCCAGGGCAATGAAGTCTCGTGGGACGTCGGGGCCTATCGGCGCCACAGGTCCGTTGTAGAAAATAAGACCATTCTCCACGGTGGTGATAAACTCTATGCTAGTAGTGCTTTCTTCACACTGAGCAAAGGCGGGGTAGAGGGCATAACCGCTCTGAAAGCTGTGTCGGGTCTTCTGACAACGTTTACCATCAAATCCTTGTGGGCACTCACAACTGAAAATTTGAAGCATTATACTGTGCAGTACATATTCATGTATACTTTGTAATTTAAAAATATTGATAATTTGTAATTAAACAATGTATATACTTTATAACTAGAAAAAGGACAGTATTACACTGAATGTTTGGAACACTTACAGAACTTCGCCCCAGTTGTCACGGACACATGTGCCTCCATTGTAGCAGTACCCAGCCTTACACACGAGTGGTTTGGAGAAGTCTCTCGCTTTACAGATGCAGTCAGTTCTGATCAGCGTAGACACACCCACAAAGCTCCGCCCCTTCGTGTTTACAAGACTTGGGTGATTGTCTACAAACAAGTTGTTTGTGCAGCCTCCACTTTCACACACTTCCTTCACACACAAATCTATGCTGACCATGGCAATCTTTCCACCAGATATCGCTTCAAACTGAAAAACAAAAATAGTTTTATTCCTTATTATGACAGCTATCAAATGGTTAAAATGTAGAAAACTAATTAGAAACAATGAAGATATAATATATTCAATAAGCAAAGAATATCTTCTTTTCCTTCTCATTGGTAAAAACCAATATATAAAATAAGATAATTATGACATGCAATTCCTTGAATTCTAGATTTGATCTTGATGAATGTTTAAATACTGTGACTAAGTTGGCCGGGCTTTACCTCGTCCTTGTACATCATGACCGTTCCGTCCAGTTTGCTGGCTGGGTACCATGGTGACCCATGTGCTGCATATCTTATATCAGTGTAAGAGCCGTTATTCATCACACTGAAAATGGCCACGTTATTCTCACGTACTCCCAGACGTCTGGCGAGAAGAGACTTGAACCGGTTGTAACTACTCCCTGCAGGTCCTTCCTCCATAAATGCTTCAGCACTTGTACCTATCAACAGACCAATGTGTAATCTGTAGAGTGTCTATTTACATTTGCGGGGTTATAAAACCGGAAATAAAATTTCTTATATATCTTTAATGAATTTCAAATGATACTTTGCTGCAACACCTCTTTAAAACAGTTAACTGTCAATTTTCTTTAATGAAATTAAACTCATTTGTGTACTTCCTTTCTGTACTTATATGAAGAATTTTATTAAAACCTGGAAATGTGAATAAAATAAGACTTTCAAATTTTAACACCTTTTAATGTTGCAATTTTCTGCTACCTCTGCAAATAGCTACCTGTTCAGGCTTAAATCTATCAAGTCAATGGTGACTATTCAAGTAAACTTTCCTCTCTGCAACTTTAGCTTGGCAATAATAGGTAGACAAAACAATGCTGAAGAGATGTTTTAATTGCATGGAATAACAGTTGTATATTTTACTTTGCTTTAGGTAATATATTGCATGATATTCAAAGACATTTACTGTTGGGTTGGCATTTACTGTTGGGTTGACATTTACTGTTTCGTTGACAGTTACTGTTGTCTTGACATTTATTGTTGGGTTGACATTTACTGTTCCATTGACATTTATTGTTCCGTTGACATTTATTGTTCCGTTGACATTTACTGTTGGGTTGACATTTACGGTTCCATTAACATTTACTGTTCCGTTGACATTTACTGTTGGGTTGACATTTACTGTTCCATTGACATTTATTGTTCCGTTGACATTTATTGTTTCGTTGACATTTACTGTTGGGTTGACATTTATTGTTCCGTTGACATTTATTGTTCCATTGACATTTACTGTTGGGTTGACATTTACTGTTCCATTAACATTTACTGTTCCGTTGACATTTACTGTTGGGTTGACATTTACTGTTCCATTGACATTTACTGTTCCATTGACATTTACTGTTTGGTTGACATTTACTGTTGGGTTGACATTTACTGTTGGGTTTTACTTGGTTTATCATGTTTAACGTGCCATAGACAGCTAAGGTCAATTAAGGATGTGCCTGTGTGTGTGCTGGAGGCAGGGTATGGCTGACAGCTGTATTTGCCTCCTTACAATAGCGCAGATCTGATGCCAACTTCAGAGTGCTACTTCACTGAAACACCATGCCAAAGGCACCCAGCATAGTATTCCAGCTGGTCACATTATACTGACATCAGGTAAACTTCAATTTACTGTATAACAATTTATCTTAGTAACAGAGATATCATACCAGAAAGTCGGACAGACCCCGAGCTGAATACCGCTTCATCATCTATTTCCTGTACAGTGACGTGTATAGTGGCGGTGGCATTATGATGGTTGAAGACAATATGATCGTACACCAGAACCTTGAACTCGTAATATCCATCCGGCACACCCTTCTTCATCGTAATTGTCCCATTCTCTTTTGAAACACTGAAAAATTGAATAATGAATTGAAATGGGGAACATTTATGACAATATGAGCAGATTTTTAAGTCCTAATAGCATTTTATCATTTTTATTTTTATTCTTTTCCATTTTTGATGATTTTATCATATATCTGAAGAAGTATCACCTTTGATCCACATCAATCTTATGTGAACATGTATCACCTTTGATCCATATCAATCTTACCTGAAGAACCGAGCCATGCGCTTCGGTCCTATGAAGTAGTACCACTTGTCCTTGAAGTCCCAATCATCCGGGTCGTTGGCATTTGCGCGGCCAATTTCAATGTTACCAAACAAACCTATAAGGCAAACAAAACTCAGAATAATCAGCAGGGTTTATTTAAAGGATGATTATCCCAACATTTTTATACTTCTGATTTATTAGTGTAAGAAGTGTAACAATATACCGACATTTAGGAATCTTCATGTTAGTGATACTGTAATATGTAAGGACTGGAACAGTAAATTACCTAAATTGGCAACCTAGATTCATAGTCACTAAATCGTTTGTGTTCAATGAATAAGTAATACAAAACAAGCTTTTAAAGACACTGATCAGCATCAGCCTTAACATTGATTCCTTCTTGACAATCTTATTTTATTAAGAACCTCTTAAGTTAATATTTATGTCTGGTTCTTCCAATATGGTTTTATGCTACCGGAGTAATATACATATTAGAATATGCTGAGTGTATAGCAACATATTTCTATACTGTTTACAGGGATTTTTTTTACCACAGTTTAACTTTTGCCTTTTACTGCGACAGTGAATTAATCATGACAGCAAATGCAATTACACTGCCTAGATAGTAACTACATAGGTGAAATTTGCACTGGGCCAATATATATATTTTACCAATGAAGGTGAATATTTGCCTAGTATAAAGTTTACCAGTAATAATCACCACCACAAAAGTTAATAATCAGAGGATTTTGGACAAGAACTCAACGACATGGTTATCTGGCCGTCCTACAATGTGCATGCTGGCTTTCATATCTCAATGAAAAAAGTCCTCGATGAAAAAGTCATTTAATTAAGTACCTTTGTAGTTATACACAAAGATGTCCTTAACACCGTCAACGTGCTGGTTGTTGTTCTTATCGCCAATCTCGATGGTCAGTGTGCTGGTACCGGTCATAGTGAGGGGATGGTATCCTCCCATGTCGGTCATCACGATAGGGAGATAGTAAAATTTCTTCTCCTCTCGCAGAAAACGGTTCTGTGCGTAAATGGTCCCTGTTCCGTTGTTGCCATCACCAGCTGAACAATACAAAGCCAGGAACATTTGAGATACACTTTAAATCATTAGATATATTTTGAACACTTATTTCAGCAAGTATACTTCAAACAACGTCACAGTGCATAGAAGATATTCCAACTATTTAGAATTGATTGTTCTCTCTGCAAACACTTTTTTTCACTTGTCAAAATTGACATAAAAATTGTTTTTGCTAAAAGACCATCATGTTTTATAAGCCAATTCCATAAAATGTACATGTATGTAATATCTGATAAATTTTCAATTTCAGGCAAATGCTTTTAAGAATCTTCTTCCCATAGCTAATTGCGCTGTCATTTTGTACATTTTTTAGTAGGCATGCTCTTCAGTTAGCCGGTTAAGCACACTGTGACTGGATGATCACAATAACCTACCGTAAAAACCCATGCATTTTGCGCACTTTTTTTTCAGAAATTTAATAACCAAAATGGGGGGTGCGTAAAATACACAGGTAGTTGATTTTGATATCGGACCACTTGCTTTAGTGTATGACAGGCATTTCTAAAATCTGGACGATACACATCTACGATGACATCGCTGATGTGATTATACTCACATTGGTTGAATACCAAGGTAAAGTTCATGTTGCCGTCTCTATCACAAGTTGGGTTTTTCTCACATGGGGGCAGATAAAATTTGAATGGGGGTCCATGAGCACGCGTGTCACGATCTCGGGCTTTGAAGGTCAACACTTGCTGAGGGTATGGGTCATCCTCCATTACGACTGGTCGATAATTCTCGGCAAATGTTGGTGCCTCGTCGTTGAGATCGGCTACATTCAGGATGAGAGTGGCTGTCCCTGTCAGAGGTGGATCACCTGTTAAATGTAATGTGGACATTTTCTCATCCATTGCAACAATTCAAATTTAAGGATCTTTCCATCAATTGTCATCAAATCTGGGTTATAAGTAGGAGGTCAGGTCACTGGTGTATTTTTTGTTTGTTTGCTTACAGATATGTGAAATAATTACATCTAGGATGCTAAACATTGCTTTCTTGCCAACTGGACATTGGAATCCATAATTTAGACAAATCATATTGACCTGAAGTGTTTGACCCTTGATCCTGAGTGACCTAAGGTTTTCAACCCCTTAACCATGACTGACATTAACTGTTTGACCCCTTGACCCTGATCAAATAAAACTGCTTGAGCTTTTGACCCTGAATGACCTAAATCATTTGACCCCTTGACCCTGATTGACCCAAACTGCAAACTCTCTGACTCTTTTTAACCTTACTTAAAATGTTTGCCCCTGCAATCTTAAATGACCCTGACTGACATAAGCTATTTGACCCATGACCCTGACTGACCTTTGTCGATGGCAAGCACTTCCACAGTATACTTTGAGCTAGTTTCCCGGTCCAATGTCTGTCCATCCAAACCTTTCTGGATCTTCACAAAGCCCTTGTTCCCCTGTTGTTCTACATAAAACCTGTCTGAGTAGTCAGCTATAGCAAACCTGTAACAAATAATTGTTCATATTACAAATGTAAAACAAAACAGGTGGTCGGATGGCACAGTAGATAAGCCGGCCCGGTTCCATTCCCCCAATTGGACATGAAAAGTTAAGGGGGTCATCGGCCTGACCACATCTGTTTTCTCCGGGTACTCTGGTTTCCTCCCACATTAAGAACCTTGTGCACTTACATCCAAGCAAACTAAAGTAATTAATTTAAGCTGAAATAACTTGTTTCATAGTTGTTCCAAAATAAATAAAATTTATCTTTTACCAGATCTACTTTTGTCTGTTGGTGGAATTATTTTTCATGACTTCTGGTTTTATTCATGTTTGTAACATGAGCTCTTATTCTAATTCTCTGAAACTACAACTATTGTTACTGGATCAATTTTTGGTTGACATAATAATTTATATTGTCAGTAAGAAATATATAGCAAAGAAATTAGAAATCAAGACCAAAAACTATGTGTGTACAAAAAAATAATACGATCGGGTCTAGAAGCTACGGTTCCCGTAGCTAATACATTTCTTACTTCTCCAACACAATGACAAAATAAAGCATTTGAGAAGCCCATATCAACTGTGAGTGGCTGAGTCTTACGTAAAGTCATTGTTTGGCGGGCTGTCTTTATCATAGGCAGTGAATGTATAGAGTAATGTCCCTTCCTCGATGTTCTCGTTGAAGTCCTTGATCTTGACAGTGTCTGTGAACTTTGGAGGTTCATCATTGGCATCTGTTACTGTAATCTCAACGAACGCATGGTCTTCGTGGAGAGGGTTAGAATCTCTTGCCTTGACAGTCAAGTTGAAGAATCTTTGTTGGACGTTTTCATAATCAACAGGCTGAAAAGGGGAGAAAATCGGTTCATACATTCATGAAATGTTCATTAACTATGGACTTTTGTTGAGGTGAAAGCAAAATTGACTGAGACAAAGTAAAGGAAGAATCTGGGATTTGCTGAAAATATTTTTTCCTTGTCTATGACATCCATTGATGTTTGTGATACCATCTGTCATAACAAAAGTCATACTGTAGGCCATAGTGACCTTTTTAAGCATGATAGCATGCACATATCAGAGATATTTTTGATGATTGGGTTCGGAGGTCAAACTATTGTTTACATCCCCTCATACCTACAAACAAAATTTGTTAACAGCAGGTGCAATAGCACAAGAGATTTATCTAAGACAAGATTTTGGGGAAGAAGGAGGGACAGAAGAGGTTTGGACAGAGTGAAAACCTCTAGTCTAAAACTGTAATACCAGTAGAAGGCTAGCGATCCCCAAAATGTACCTGTTGATTTATATATTAGGGAGAGAGGTCATTGCATCAACTCACATGGAACACGTTGATGACGCCAGCATTGGAGGGTAGCGTGGTAATGGAGAAGAAGCTCAGATCACTCTGTAGGGTGTACGTCAACTTAGCATTCTCCCCGATATCATCGTCAGTGGCGGACACCGTGATGACTGGACCACTCTTCTGACTCTCGGACAAAGTTACACGGTATATCTTCTGTAGGAACACTGGAGCCTCGTCGTTTTCGTCCGATACTTTGATGGTTACGGTAGCAGTGCTACTTCTCTGTGGGACACCGCGGTCAAATGCTATCACCTGGAGGTAGTATCGGTCAAGCACCTCGCGGTTCAGTATGTCTGTGTTGGAGTAGACCAGACCGGATGACTCCTGGATCTTGAAGAGGTAATCGCCATTTTGAGGGTTGGCTGGGGTGTTTCCTCGTCCATCTATCTGATAGTATACAGTGCCGTTCTGTCCCAGGTCAAAATCCTTGGCGCGCACTGTCATGATGTTTTTCCCTAGAACAAAGAAGAATCTATCGTACAGAAGTTTACAATGACTAGTGCTGGTTGATCAAAACCTGGTACAGGTTAAAGACAAATTTAAGAAAAATGTTCTAAATCCTTATTCTTCTTCTAAGTCTCTCTTTACTCTCTTTGAAAGTAACAGTTTTTGTGATTCTTGTCTCCAAAACTGTCTGTAAAACATGAAAGCCTCCACCCTCAAGGACATTTTTAAATTATAGTATTGACCTTAGCACCCAGAAATACAAGTTCATTCACGGTATTCTCCCACTTGACCTTTGTATAAAGTTTGATCCAGAAATGGAGTCACAACAGCAATGAAACTGAATCAGCACGAAACAGGATCAACATAACTCATCATATTGCATAAATAATGCAACAGGTGGACATTGTTTAACTTCACTCATTCACCCCTAAAGACACATTTGAACTCTTCCAATTCAAAGGTTGGAATAATTCATTATGAAATTTTAGGGGTGAATGAGTTAAATATGAACCTTAATTACAACACAGACATTTTGTTGAATTATCAGAGCAACTCTTTGAAATTTGATAGCTGTGCTGCTATTCATGGAAAGGTAAGAACTGTCTTTGATTTAGGGAAAATAACCTAACAATTAGTATTATTCCAGTAGTAAAATATTGCTGAAAGAAAAGCGACCACTGATCTTTAAATGTTTTTATGTTCTTCTAGACTAAACGACTTTAATAGGAATTAACTTACTTTTAGCTGAATTCTCTGGAACATATCCAGTCAGATTTCCAACAAACAATGGAGCATTATCATTGATATCTTTCGGCTGAACTTTCACGTAGGCGTAGCCAATCAGAGATTGTGGATTTCCAGGTTCATCTTCAACAATGATGTTAAACTGGTACTCGGCCTGGCCATTTGGAAGATCACGGTTAAGACTGCGTTTTAGGAAAATCCTGCCGTCCTCGGGACCGATGGTGAACATTGGGTTAGCAGGATCTTGGTCATCAATGTTTAGACTATATCTGAAGTTGTGTGGACGGTCGATATCTTTGTCTGTAGCACTGACCTGTACAATCAAATGCAAAACTTGACATAACTCAGATCCAAAGAATACTCATTTTTTGTAATTATTCATTCCAATGCCTCGCTAACACACATCTTAATTGACATCCTGAATGATCCCTCGTGTGTATGTTCCTATATAAATACTCGTGACATGTGTAACTTCAGAATCAACTCCCTTAAGTGATTTACAGGAAAAACCTATCCGTTTAGCTATGGCTTGCTTTAGTATTGAAGTAAATAATACTCATTTATACCACATTGATGTGGTGGGAAATTCCAACTTGAAATCATTTAATACCAAATTTCTCTGATTCCAAAAAAGAAAACTACCAAGAGTATATTCGAAAAGTAGGAAAATCATACCTGACTAAATCCTTTAGATATTTCCCAAGTGAAAAAATGTACTGAAAAAACTTAAATTGAGACATTTCCATATTTTTTAAATATTTTCACTTTGAAACCAAAATATTCCAATAGGTCAGGGTTTAACTGGGTAGAGGGTGATTCTGTCACCTTTTATTTATCAATAAAGTAAGCTAGAACTGACCTGTACGAGGAACTTCTGTTGTCCCGCTGGAGGGTCAATCTCCTCGACTACATCTGTGATGACGTACTCAGACTGAGTAAACTCGGGCTGGTTATCATTGATGTCTAGTACGGTCAGTTTGACCCTTGTGGTGTTGGTATGGTAACCATCATTAGCTGTGATGGTCAAGTTGTAGACCTACAAGAAAACATATCTTGGATAATTTGGTGTGATCAATTGAAATGTTATCAACATCAAGCTAAATGACATATTCTGATCCCAAAAATACCCAATGATGATCTTCATTGTATTCTTGTAAGTAAAGCATATGGAATAGAATTTTCATTTTTGTTATGTTAGTCAAAACATCCAAAAGGATAGTGCATCAATTTATTATAATTTTTGGCAGCAGGTTGCGACAGGTCATGCTATACTATTGTCGATTACACACTATTTATGACCAGCCTTAATAGGCATGAAACAGCACAACAGGCAGATTTTAACACTATTTATGACCAGCCTTAATAGGCATGAAAAAGCACAACAGGCAGATTTTAAAGTAAGTTTCATTACTGTGATATATATGGCTCACAAGCACTTGAATGCTAACAGACGCATATGTAACAGAAGTCATTATTATTTCAATGTCTTCGCCAAAACCTCGGGCTTACTGGACTCACGCTGTACTGAATGAGCTAAAGACAAGACTCCCTAGCCGAGTCGGTAGGACTACTATTTACCAGGGTGACACATATTTATTGAGGGTTTTAATATGTCTACACAGCATTTGCAGGATATTACAATTTCAGTTTGATCCTTGTTGTCATGGTATGGAAACCATCATTAGCTTTAGCTGTTATGGTAAAGTTGTAAACAATTTCAGAAAGTCACCAATAAGTCAGATTTAGAAAGATTTTTTATTGCTCAATACTTTTTGAAAACAGGGCCATTGAATTCTATTTCACAGTAGATTCCTGAATCTTATGAATTCTCTATACCATTCACGAAGAATTTTATCTGAACTTATGCAATAAACATCATTTTTGTTTTTCAAAAATTGACAGAAAACGTCTGCTGAGCAGAAACAACTGCTAACATAGAATCAATACGGCCACATAACCACTGTGACATGTAAACATTACCTTCGGTGGGGTTTCGTAATCCAGATCTCGAGCCACGTAGAGTTCTCCAGTCTTCTGTTTGATGCCAAACACGTTACCCACATTACCACTGGTGATGGTGTAAGTGAGGACATCAGCTGATGAACAGATATTATCAAAGTTATCAAACGTCCTTATATAGTGTTAAACAGATATACATGTATAAGTGTAGCTGATGAACAGAAATTACCAAAAATTACCAAAACATCCTTATCTAGTGTTTAAAAGTAGACATGTTGTCTTATATGTGATGTGTTGTCATACCAATTTAACCACAACAATATTGTGAGTAATCTAACTTTATCATCATATTGTCATTTTGATAGTGTCTAGCATCTGGCTGACATTTTTGGGGTTTTTTTTTCAAATGTTGGTGTGAAGGACTATGATGATGCAACAATATTTACACAGGGAAACTTGCCTTTCACCATCAAAATATCTATTTGTCTCGCGTAATTTTGACTTTCACATGTCATTATTACCATATATGGTATGCTGTGAACTACCTTGGTAATATTTGCCAGGATAAATGTGCCCTCTATAGAGCAGTCACTTGTCTGATACAGCCACCTTAAATTTTCCACAAACAAAACTTACTATATACTCTAACCTGTAATAAGTATCCATTTGTCTTTCTGGCCTTTATTGATTGTTGTTTTAGATGTTGTAATAAATTGAAAAGACAAGTAAAATGTATTGAGACTGGTTAAAAAACTTGTTGTCATTGAAGTAGCCTCTCCAATAAACGTGGATATCTACGCCCAGTACTTACAGCTGTCCAGGTCCTCGGCCAGGACTCGGATGATGGCTTTGCTGCTGTCGGGAGGCTGTTCCTGGACCTCTTTCTCGTACAGTGTCTGCTGGAAACGTGGGGTGTTGTCATTCTTGTCCCCAATTATAACCAGTACCTGGGCAGTGGCTACAAAAATACACCAGAACAGTCAACCACAAGGTAAGTAATTTTCTTTTGTTAATTAGGAAATTAGTATAAAGAGTGAAATGCACATTCTTAACATATATGGTAGTATTCAGTACATGTTTTAACAAACATTATTCTCCAAGACATACTGCAGCACATCACTGAATATTTTTGTGTTTTTATTTCCTATTTACAGGTATGGTCATCTTAGGATGTGCCAGGTTTTGTTGGTGGAGGAAAGCTGGAGCACTCGGAGAAAAAACACCAATCTGCCCCGGCCCAGGTAGCTCTCAAACCCTTGACTCAGTGGTGGAGGGCTAGTGATCGGTCACACGTGCTAAACACTCGGCCACAGTGAATATGTTTAACTAAACCACTACATTATATAGGCTGAATACCATCATCAATGTTAAGATTGTTAATTGATTGTTACTGTACCTAAAATAATGTAACCCTGCTACATTTACATTTGTGCATCTAGAGCTTTCAACAGATGTTTTCTCCGAGTGGAAGTACACTCACCTGTACGAGACTATTCCGTCTTTGCGTATTGCAGAGTTATCTTCTCTTGTGAGCAGGTATTGATTGTTACGTCATTGGTTTGTGAGAGTAACGTCATCAATTTTTGAGAAAAAGACGTAACTTTCTCACACAAACCAATGACGTAACAATAAATATCTGCTCCCAAGAGAACATAACTCTGCAATACGCAAAGACGGAATACATATCTGGTCGACAAATGTGTATAAACACCTTCTTGTTCAAGGGCAAAAACTTATAAGTGGGCCAGAATATCACAATGATATTTACTGAAACCAGGATTTTAATAGAGTATACAATCAGCATGATGGAAAGTTGTATTCAATCTGATGTAGTGTCCAAAAAATTGTTTTTATCGGATGGCAAATTCTAACCCTATGTAATATTCATCCAACAAATGTTGTTTGACAATCCTGTACCCTACAGGCTATAGGACGTATGGGACGTTATGGTCGGGTACCCACCACTGTTGGGACTGCCAACAGGCTCGTGGCCGAGCACGTCCGACGGCTTCCCATCCACAGCTTTGATATCAATATAGTAGAGGTTATCAATTTCTCGGTCAAACGTGAAGTTGGTAGTGATCAGACCAGTCAGGGGGTTGATGTCAAACAGTCGGTGGACGCCATACCGATCTTCAGTTATACTGTACCGCACCTGCAAAACCGATTTTCATATTCGTAAATACATAATACACTGTTGTTTCATTTCCTACCTCGCTGAGTGTCATTGCTTTTCCAGAAACAAAGGCAGGAATAATTATGGCATTTAATCACAATTAATGCATTTTATTTCCCAATTTTAACTGACAATTTCTTAAAAATCTTCACTGATGTTGAACTCCTTTATAATGCCAAAAATCTGCTGCACACAAGGTGACAGTATAACGAAGTTTTAACAGCACTAAAAGCATCAGAATGTATTTCTTAACAACTCCTTCATCTTCTTTTGCAATCCTCCTTTTTTTTATCTAACTTGAGCTACCTGTGTTTGCCCCTAACGTGAATAGTTGAGCGAACTGAAAGCTTCACGCATATAGTTTACTGCATTTATCAAATAGCTAATCAAGAACTTCAAATTTTGTTGACTTTTCTCAAACTGTTGCTAAAACCTGAATATCCCTTACCACTTCTGTGACTTTGATTTGGAGGTAATTAAAAAGACCTAGACACCTCTGGATTCTGTTTACTAACCTCGTTGTTAGGGCTGTCATGATCAGCATCAACAGCCTTGACTGTGATGACAGTCTGGCCAACAGGTTCGTTTTCCGGTACACTTCCACGGTAGGTGTTACTCATGGTAGGGTCGAGTCCCTCAAACCGTGGCGGCTGGTTGTTCATATCCTTCACCTTCACAGTCACCCGCATTTCATTAGACGCTGGGTTCAGGCCCTTATTCTGTACAAAAACATAGAAAAAAACTGATGGTTATTGTTTATTATTCATTGTTGTACGGCCACTTTGTCATTCATAAACTTGTATATCAAACAAGAGATTCTTATATGTCCCACTATATAGATTTCAAGGTAACTTCAACTTTGTATTGGAAAAACCTGTCTAATTTGAACACCAATATTGGTCTTTGTTTATTATGCATTGTTGTACGGCCACTCTGTCATTCATAAAATTGTATACCAAACAAGAGATTCTTATATGTCCCACTATATATATTTCAAGGTAACTTCAACTATATATTGGAAAACCTGTCTCATCTGTACCAATATTGGTCCTTGTGGTGCCTGGTTCAGACAGACTTCACTTTCCTATAAGGCACATTACTGGTCTTACAAATGTATCAAATAGGAGACTCTGAAGACCTTGATTTTATTTTACTGTTTCTAATTTGCCATATATCCTAATTTGTAATTCAAAAATACTGTGAAACCTGGCCCATGATTATTCTGATATCAAGTGTAATCCAACATAATACAAATTATATTTCTAATGAAAGCTATCAAATAAGACCTGTGTAATATGACAGCCTGTCTTATCTGACCAATGTTTTGTTCCACAACCTGTCAGATTATACAGGTTATTTTTAGTCCCACAGGGTGTTATATTAGACAGATTAATCTGACCAATGTTTTGTCCCAATGTGTCAGATTAGACAGGTTAATCTGACCAATGTTTTGTCCCAGTGTATCAGATTAGACAGGTTAATATGACCAATGTTTTGTCCCAGTGTCAGATTAGGCAGGTTAATATGGCCAATGTTTTGTCCCAGTGTCAGATTAGACAGGTTAATCTGACCAATGTTTTGTCCCAGTGTGTCACATTAGACAGGTTAATCTGACAATGTTTTCTCCCACAGGCTATCAGGACCAATTAAATTTTTAATTTTACCATGAGTAGAAATGCTGTACATGCTAGTGACATAATTCACAGATATTAGATATAAATCCTCACCGTAACACGTAACCGGACAGTGTACATGTTCTTTAGGTTGTAGTCCAGATTCCCACGGAGCTTTAACTTCACCATATTGGATGGAGTGGAAATCCGGAACATGTCGTCAAATTGTGATTGGGATCCATCTGATTTTATGAGAGCGAAACTGACACCCTGAAGCTGTGGGTCTAAGATGTTGGAGCTCGCTGTGAATGTACCAATAACATAACTCGCGAGAGCAGTCTCCTCAACCTCATAAACCATACCGTCATAACTATCGTCCCAAGTGGGTACCTCGCCCTGTGACGCGGCCAGGTTGATGGTGACGCGCACTGTTGAGTTGAGGGGCGGCGTGCCCTTGTCTTTCGCCATTACAATGATACTAGTCTGATTCTTGACGTATGGAAACTGTAGAAAACAATAGACAATATTATACGACTATGAACTTTTCATCTTCATAGAAAGTTTTATTAGGCACATCAGATTTGAAAGGCATCATCTTGTCAACATAGGAAAACTGGGGTAAAATTCTTTTTTTTTTCTTAGACCCTTAGAAATTTTATATCTAAATAAAAGTCTTGCTGTCGGTAAAGTCATGTCTCATTCATGCAGTTTAATATTTAAATACTCTAAAATATAATGCACCTGAAGAGAAAAGTAGAGATATATTAACTCGAAGGACATTGGAAATGACAAAAAGTAGGGAAAATGTAGGATGATCTTACATCAATGAGACTACTGTCAAGAAAGATTGACCCAGTGTCCTCTTCTATTCTGAAGTAGTTTCCAGGATTAGTCTCCAGAATGTAAGTCACCTCCGCATTCTGTCCCATGTCACGGTCTGTAGCCAACACGCCAGTGACACGCTTATTGACCTCAAATGTGCGTGTGATCTGTTTGGAGTAGGAAAGCGAATCAAACAAGGGTCGATTGTCGTTGCGGTCATCGATGCGCACCCAAAAGGTACAGAGACTGTTGAGCTGTTGAGGTTGTCCCTTGTCCTCCGCCTTTATGGTGACAGGGTAACCACGGGAACCCTGCTGCGACTCACGGTCAAACAAAATGTTGGTCACCACTGTACCGTTGTCTGGATCAACATCAAAGTTCTTGTTCTGATAAGCAGGCGTGACCACAGAATAGGTGATCTGACCATTTGGGCCGCGGTCGTTGTCTTCTGCTCTTACCTACAGCACAAATATACAACTATAGACACAACCTTACAACCCTTTTTTCTACTCCTGTTTCTTTCCTTTTTTTAAAATTTTAGAACAGTGTTAACTTCTCGAAGTATCTCTCCAGCTTGTATTTATCTTATATTTTTTCCATTAAAACAAAATAACATTGAATATGATGAAGGTGTTCAATAAATGGTGCCCCAGAAATACTCTACACCGCAGGGCAGACCAGATTGCAGTTTACTTATCGACCCTGGTCTCAACTCCCTGGAACAAGACCTTACCAGTATGACCATGTTCCCTACCATTGGGTCAAGACATTACCTGTATGAGCCTGTTCCTCACCTTCAGGTTAAGACCTTGCCTGTATGAACCTGTGTCCAAACCCTTGGAACAAGACCTTAACTGTATGATCATGTTCTAAACCCTTGGGATAAAACATTACCTGTATGACCCTATTCTCAACCCTTGGTATAAGACCTTACCTGTATGACCCTGTTCCCAACACTTGGGACATTAGACCTTACTCGTACGACCCTGCTCCCGACCCTCAGGACAAGACCTTACCTGTTTCATCCTGTTCCCGTTCCTAAGGACAAGACCTTACCTGTATGACCCTATTCCCGACCCTCAGGACAAGTCCTTACCCGTACAACCCTGCTCCTTACCCTCAGGACAAGACCTTACCTGTTTCACCCTGTTCCCGACCCTAAGGACAAGATCTTGCCTGTATGACCCTGTTCCCAACCCTTGGGATAGTAGACCTTACTGTATGGCTCTGTTCCCGACCCTAAGGACAAGACCTTACCTGTATGACCCTATTCCCGACCCTGAGGACAAGACCTTACCTGTATGACCCTGCTCCCAACCCTCAGGTCAAGATCTTACCAGTATGAACCTGTTCCCGACCTTCAGGACAAGACCTTACCTGTATGACACTGTTCCCACTGGATAAGACCTTACCTGTATGACCCTGTTCCCGACCCTCAGGATAAGACCTTACCTGTATGACCCTGTTCCCGACCCTCAGGATAAGACCTTACATGTACGACCCTGTTCCCGACCCTCAGGACAAGACCTTACCTGTATGACACTGTTCCCACTGGATAAGACCTTACCTGTATGACCCTGTTCCCGACCCTCAGGACAAGACCTTACCTGTATGACCCTGTTCCCGACCCTCAGGACAAGACCTTACCTGTATGACCCTGTTCCTGACCCTCAGGATAAGACCTTACATGTACGACCCTGTTCCCGACCCTCAGGACAAGACCTTACCTGTACGACCCGAGTCCCCACAGGCTGGTTCTCCATCACATTGGGTTGGTAATTACACGAGGGAAAGCGTGGGTTGTTGTTGTTGATGTCCTTGATCTCCACGACAAGAACCGCATCCTGACGTTGGGTCACATGGCCGTCGCAGCACGACCCATCATCATAGGCGGTGATATTTAACACATACTTTGGTATGGCTGGAGGGATGGAGTTGGACAACTGAATGACCCCTGACTTTGGATCAATTATGAAAGGACCATTAGGAGCTGCTGTTAATCGCTCTGTGAATAGAAAAATTGTATCACTAAATTGAACTTCAAATCATCATTAGTTATCCTTCGTAGTGAACTTAGAGCTGAAGCACAAGTTGGCAAATATCTGTAGTCATGTTTGCCTTGCCCCAATGTAAAATTAGTTTCATAGCAATCTTACAACAAATGAAAGCACCGGAGCAATAACAGTTTTTTTCTATATAACGGTGACCTTCACTTTTGGTGTAAAAATGCTTAAAAAAGCACACTTGATCAAGTCCTTTGTTTAAAGTTTCATAGAAAGTCTGACAACAGATAATAGTGCCTGCAAAGCAATGGCAATTTGTTCTATATAAAGCAATGATGACCTTGGCTTTTGATGTAAAATGCTGAATCTTATTGGAAATCCAACATCAAATGAAGCTAAAGAGATAACATTACTGCACTCAGATTTTACTTTTCCTATTTATATATATGGGGGATGAAAATAGCAGGCACTCCAGAAAGTTCTAGTGTTTTGTTTAAGAAATAATGAACATTTTTTCAGGCAATAGCAGTAAGTTTAACAGTAAACTTTTAAAAAGTGTTAAATTTGAAGAATGATTTGTTAGTTAGAAAAGCAGATTCCGACAGCAAATTAAAAATTGACGTATAGCTTGGATTAAAAAATAAAATTGACTATATTTTAATCCTCCAATTATGACACATCTCTCACCGGTGAAGTAGTACTCGACATTGTCGCCGTCAGGGTCGACAGCCTGGATCATCGTCACATAATTGTTGGCGGCCAGATCTTCCCTGATACTGGCGTTGATTTCCTCCAACCCGGTCCCAAACCGAGGCTTCTCGTCGTTGATATTAGTTACATAAATGACCACACTAGCCCAACCCTTCTTTGGGATGGAACCATGATCAGTTGCCGTAACGTTGAACTTGTAGAGTCGGTCGGGATGGAAATCGTAATCCAACCTCCTGAAAATAGGTAACCCACAATGATTCAGATGTTTGTCAAAATATGTTTATCAATATTTCGTTGAAGGGAGCATCAACATGAAGTCTACAAATATAACATGAGGCCCATGGGCCTTAACGGTCACCTGATATATTTATACAGAGAGTTGATTTTGTTTTTAACATGAACAGAAATATTATTCAAAGTGACAAAAAACAATAAAACCACCTTATTCAATATCTAGCATACAGATTTCAGACAAAAAAGTATTTGAAACTAGCACCTCTGATTCTAAACAAGGAAAGTGAAGAAATAGGACTGGCTCAAAATTTTCTAAGTATCAAACTGTCAACTCAAGGTTATAATTCCAATCAAGTTATTAACATGTAATATTCAAAGTATCATTTGCCATTATAAACCATAATAATTTTTTTCATTGAAATTGGTTCAGGGGTTTTGGAGAAGAAGTTTTTTGAAATTTTTGTCAATTTGACCCTTTTTGGCCCAGCCCCTCAGGCTCCTGAGGGCTTGGGACTAAACCGGCCACCGGTTTTGTTGACCTTTGTCCATGGAAGGTCCCTGCAAAATTTCATTGAAATTGGTTCAGGGGTTTTGGAGAAGAAGATTTTTGAAATTTTAGTCAATTTGACCCTTTTTGGCCCCGCCCCTCAGGCCCCTGGGGGCTTGGGACTAAACCAAGCCACTGGTTTTGTTGACCTTTGTCCATGGAAGGTCCCTGCAAAATTTCATTGAAATTGGTTCAGGGGTTTTGGAGAAGAAGTCGACAATGTAAATTGTTTACGGACGCACGACGGACGACAGACGACAACTGACAAAAGGCGATCGCAATAGGTCACTTGAGACTTTGTCTCAGGTGACCTAAAAATCTACTATTGTCTCGAGTAACTTTACAATGAAGTATATTCACAGTCAGTCTCCTTCTAAATACTTTCTGCTATCACATTTCCCCTTTAACAAAAGGGCGAGGTCAAAAGAGGGACAATAGGTTCACATCAATCATGGACTGATTTGGAATGATCTAATTTCATAGTTACAAGTGTAATGCATGATAATGACTCGAAGCAAGTAACACTGCTGTGTATAACCAAAGATCTTACCGTTATAAAAAATATAACTGATGTTTATACGGCCATAGTGGCCATTGAAAGTAACACAAAGGGCAGGGACAGGGACTATTCATATGTTAACAGACATTAGTTTCCCTTCAGGGTGCAAATAAGTTAATGGTATTATACTTCAAAACCCAGATGATAAGATCAGACTTATCCATCAAGTTAACGTAATATTCCCTAAAGAAGAACCGTTCCTACCTGGACTCTAAATCTCTGAGAGATAACAACGGTATCATAAACACTCTATCATACCAATGGAAACGCGCAGTAAAACGGCACACATTTGTTTTATAGATTGATATTGTAACACCTGCCAATAAAATATAATCGCTGCAGATTTGAAAAAAAAGTGACTGTGAAGATGAATCACTGTTTAAATATTAATTTTCATTCCGGATTTTTTGTAGTTGAACGTTTCAATTTCTGCACTGAGTCATTTTTGATTGAATGAATGAATCGCATTACACTGACTGAGGTTACATGTGTTTGTGGTTGATCACTTGGGCTTTTGTTTCAATCGAAGTAAAACCAGAAGGGTCAAGATACTCACTTAGCCACCTTGAGGTCACCAATGTAGTTACCAGACACCGGGTCGTAGCGAGTGACCACATAGAAATGGTCATTGGTCACTTCGTAGGTCAGTTCTGCATTCTCTCCTGAATCTCGGTCTGTTGCGATCACTGTGAAACAATAACATTGTATACGAATCGATATGGAAACAATGGTGGTCATAACTCATTATAGAACTGACAAGAATACAAAAATCTATCGGACAACAATTTACTTTAAACTAGAAACAGAATTCAAAATGATCAACATTAGGCTAAAATATGACGATTTTTTTATATTTTTGCTATTAGGTTTGAGAAAGTATTAATAGATGATATCGCGACCAGTGGAACTCTTCAAATAGGAGGGGATTAAACTGTACTTGCTGGGGCAAGGGACAACATGGCAGCGCCAAAACATTCAGATAAGAATTTCCACAAACTTCCATGTAATGAATTGGGTAATATTTTAAAGTCAAAAGGTATCATCTACTCCAAATAAGACAAATGGGGAGCTAGTACACCTATGATAGCAAGCAGACGTGTTAAATTGGCCAGATATTGAAAAGAGGACGAAGCTAAAGCGTCACAGTTGTGACGGACCGTCAGCGGCGTACAGAGGTTCGTGTGTTACCTTTATGTAAATGAAATGTCAGAAGGCTTGTTTTGGACAAACTATTTGATTTGAATGTCATCACTAAATGCATTTGATGTGACCTCTATTCTTGTGAGTTATTTTTGTTGGTTCAATACAGTGAAGGTGGGGCATATTGTTTACACATGGCAGATTGTTTTGCCCCCGTATCCTCGCATTCTTTCTCGCGAGACTTGTGCATTTTCCAGCAAGAGCTCTTCGAAGGGGAGTAACTTGTGACCGGTCGCGATAACACCTATTAAACTATGTAGATGTGACGTGGATGAAATAGCGTACCGGAGAAAAGGGTGGCGTTGATGGACGTCCCTTCACTTGTACTGTTCGTATACGTGGACAGACCAAATACAGGCGAGTTATCGTTGGAATCTTCTAGGTTCACTATCAGCTGCAGAAAACAAGATACACATCAGTTACGATAATATTTGACTCTTATTTCTCAAGACAAAAGAATAAAACGAAGTTCTCAAACTCAGATCTCAACTTCTTCCCCCTCTCCCATCATTAATCTTATAGATATGCATCATTTTTGGGATACTGGATTCGATCAGAGACATCTTTAGCAAGAGAATTCTTGCCAATTGGATTCCCTCAACATTTAATCCATTTCTGTAGATATAATATAATTCTTAAAGTAAAGTTATTTCTCTACATTAAATTCATAATTTACTAATTGTAAAAAGTATGATACAGGTGTTATACAGTTTAAATTCTGTCCCATCTCAAATGAATCAACAAAGAAGATTCCCACTTACCTGTGTTGAGCTTGTGAGGCTGGTGGTTTCCTCTGTACCATTGAGTGTCAATGTAAACTGTTTCCTTGACGACGCCTCATAGTCCATGCTCTGTAACGTCTCCACTTCCCCAACCTCGTTAATGGCGAACAACGAGGATGGTTGATTCCGCTCATCATACAAATGAAATCGTACTGAATGGTCCCCTTGCTGTGATTGAAACGGCTTCGCCTGAATTTTCAGATTAACTCTCTCCGCTGTCTGGAGCCTAGTTTAGAACATAGAGCATTGGTAATAAAAAATAAATTTAGAAAAATGGTTTTTGTACAGAGAAACCCTATAATCCAGACACTCCTGTTTCCAAAAATGTTGCTACAAGTAATTATGGCTATCACTTCTCAGTACAATTTTTAAGTCATAATTTTTTTCCCAGTTTTCCGTCTTTATACATGTTTCTTGGTAAATACAAACTCAGAAAACTGGAAAACTTTAAATTACTTTTTGTCCGAATGTGAGCTTATAGAAAAACCAGATATCCAGAGAAAAAAAATGATTTCAGAAAAATGTAGATTTCACTCGATTCCGTGAAGGTTTTTTACAATTTTTTCTAGTATTTAAAGTGAAAATGTTTTAAAAATCAAATTTGCTTCAAATATAACAGAAATGAGAACACTTCTATGCGTATATATATTCAATATTCTGAAGTTTTGGTCCGGTCTCTTTGAGTTCATAAAGACAACAAAGCTTGCCTTCCGTTAGTAACAATTAAATCCAGAAAGATGGCCAGTGTTTGGATTAACAAGCTTCTACCGTAATTTGTATACCCTAGTCATTCTAATAATTGCATAGTCTTAATTAGTTTCCATTTCTCTTCTTTTGAAAATATGGAAAATGCATCTTCTTTTTCACTTTTGCAACATTTTCAATTCATTTTTTAATTATCACCAAAATCCCTCAAAAGAAAAAAACTATCGAGGTGGGAATTAATTGCATTTAACTTGCCTTTTCCCATAAAGTTTTTAATCTCTTTAAATCTAGTTGTGGTTTCCTAACAGGAGAGCTCGCAGAACAATTCATTTAGCCATATAATGCAACATGTGTTTCTTTGTTTAAACCACAACTGTTTTGATTTTGAGTATCGAACAAATGGCCAGGCACTATTAGAATGAATATGGTAATTCAACATTATATTCAAAATTCTAGGATAAACGGAAAGATATCTGTATGATATATGATTTCACTGGATATGGAAGTGGAATATATAAAACAAAAATTTATATGAAGCATTTGCACAGTAAATAACGACACCAGCAGAATTGATTAATAGTGTTATGAACTAAATTCTATAAGCATGAATGTAAATACTATTACTTTGATTTGATAGTTAAGCAGCTCTCTTGATACATTACTAGATTTTTATGTTACAAAAGTATGATATAAATGCGCTAGTAGCCTTTTTCATGTTAAATTAAGATGGGCCAATTTTAAGCAATTTTTCCTCATGAACAAAATCTGACCCTACAACTACGGACAAAGTAAACTAAAAAGTTCCTCAACGCTCCCTTTGTCTATGAAACTATTATATAATATTGAAAAAATGTTAGTTCATGCCAAAGTTCAAAAGTAGTAGAAACCATTAAAAAAAAATATATGGAAAAGGCACTACATTTTATCTACATTATAAATAACAAATATGTAAACAAAGAGGGGGGGAAAAAATTACCAATTTGATAAAGAAAGTTTGTTTTTTTCTTTTTCTCAAATCTTGTAAAATATTACATTATGTTCATTTGTTTGTCTCTATGAAATTGGTACCTATATTTACTAGCTTTTAAAAGCATTTTTGTGTGGAGCTTAAAAAATAAGATGTGTTGAGCTATAAGAAAACATATTTCCTTAAGGTCAAACAAGGGAAGATAACTACTGACAGCTACAATTCATCTTTTATAAAAGAAGCAGAATGATTGCTTAAAATAGCTTTAAAAAAAGTCCTTTGCATCTATTTATCACATTCTAACATTCAGGAAAAAATCTGTCATGTCAAGATACATCTAAATTTCTTAACATTTTGTTGATTAAATTTTTAATGAAACATAATTTAAATGCTGTGAAATCAAAAATTAAAAGAAATTCTAACATTAATTTCTATCATTTTAATATTTAAGTACTTTATAGCTTTAAATCAACTTGTTGATTCCATTGACATCATGTATATTTTTAACACCTTAACTCATTCACCCCTGAAGACACATATGAACTCTTCCAATTCAAAGATTAGAATAGTTCATTATGAAATTTCAGGGGTGAATGAGTTAATGTACCTACCCTTTACTAGTCATTTGTCCAAAGAAAATGAAAGAGTACATATTGTACTAGTCATCGGAACCTCACACCATAAAGCCTATCACTGGTTGTGCTGTATGAACTCCTATAAAATATCTATAACCAACCTCAACAAAGTATGCAGAGGTTTGATGTTGAAAACGCTTTTTTGTAAAATTTTGAGTCAAACTACGCTAAGGATATTATGAGCTTTGACAGTAATGGAAACTCATGCAGACCCTGTCAGCCCAATACACTGTAAGTGTGATAGATAGAAACATGTATACGAACAATGAAAACATTTCCTCAGTACGATAACATGTAGCGTGGAATTATCTTCTTCTGTCCCAGACAATAGAGATAACCCTTTGTTCAGCACCACAAAGAAATACTGGTGCTATCCATCCTGTGTTTACAACAGGCAAGCTAAACAGACATGATGGTGAGATGGACAGACTGAGCTGATTCCGGTGTCAATGGTAGACACATCTGCCTGAACGCCATCTGTACCATACACATATAGGAATGAAGTCGACATCACTTAGATCTGGTAAACAAACTTACATACCAAAGGTACACATGCCACCAATGTGTATTCTAGCTTTGCAGATCTTTAGTTTAGAATGCCGAGGACTGTTATAACAGTCACAGAAAACAACTTGTCTTTGAGATATGTCTGAAGGTTAATCCTGTTATTAAAGGCAAATTGTATATACAGACATAGGAAGCCGACAGCAAACATTGGGATTTGTTTTCTAAACAGGTAAACTTGTATAGCTAGATGACCTTCTCAGAGAGCTGACCATCCAGGTGAACTTATAGTTACTGTAGATGACCTTCTTCGATCATTTTAATTTATAGATATGTGACCTTCACAGAGTGATGTCCTTTGTGGATATGTGACCTTCACAGAGTGATGACCTTTATAGATATGTGACCTTCACAGAGTGATGACTTTTAAAGATATGTGACCTTCACAGAGTGATGACCTTTAGAGATATGTGACCTTCACAGAGTGATGACCTTTATAGATATGTGACCTTCACAGAGTGATGACCTTCATAGATATGTGACCTTCACAGAGTGATGACCTTTGTAGAAAGGTAACCTTCACAGAGTGATGACCTTCGTAGAAAGGTGATGTTTGTACTTGGGTGACCTTCATAGACTGATGACCTTCATAGACATGTGACCTTCAAAATGAAGACCTTTGTAGATAGCTACAATTCATACACAGGTGAAATTCTCAGCTTGATGACCTTTATAAAAAGGATAACCTTCACAGAAAGGTGACCTTCGTAGAAAAATAACATTTAAACAGGTGATCTGCAGGTATTGGATTAATATTTCCTAAATCATAATTACAATGTACCACAATCAATTCTTGGAATATGAACTATTCTTGTGCTTTCGCAATTATGAAGTGGCTTATTTTGACTGGGCTTATCCTCCTTCTAATGCAAGATGTTACAAAATGTTTGCTCCGTCTCCCCAACACATACATCCTAGTCTAGTGTGTACCATACCAAAACAGTACACAAAGCAAATCTTTGGAGATCTTGTTGATCGTGAACAATCAGGGGAGTTAACCTTAGGCATTATTCCACCACACCAACTCCTAAATCAGGTCTTACTAATAGTTATTCTCTATACAGATAGCAAGTGTGTATAAATTGTTTATAGGACATATGTAGGTCAAGAACAAAGTAATATTCATTTCAACAAATATATCTTCTTTTATTTTACATGTTTTGGTTTGGTTGTCTCCCTTTAAAGAAGGGTTAACTCTATAGATATGACATAAAATGCAAACAGGTATTTTCTTAAAACCTTCCTTTAGATGACATTGAAAAAATCATATTTGTTGACAACGGTTTTGTGCGTTATGTTATTGTTACAACTGCTATTCATAATTGTATACTGTAACTAGTTTTTAACTAAAGAAATTAAGTAGATCCCTCCTAAAATTGTACTGTCACTATTACGGAATGTATTGTACCATATAAGCAGATCTTTTTTTCTAAAAGTCTAGTATTAGTGGAATATTTTTTTGTTACAGATTGAGCAGGAGCTTGTACAACATTATGAGTGAAGAGAATGTGATAAACAGTCTATATTTGTCAAGCTTTTATGAAAAGGACAAAAGGACAGGTAAAAAAATATGAAAGAAAAAATGTTTTAAGTTGGTAAAGATTTTATACACAACATTCATTAAATCTTAAGGAACAACTTTCTTGTTTAAAAACTACATGTACACAACATATTACAGCTCCCTACATAAAACATCAAGTATGAATATCATTATAATGTCAAATCGTCAAATGTCAGAAAAAAAACACAGTTGACAACAAATATTCTAAGCAATAAACCCACTTTGTAACTTATGAATTTTACAATGTTTACACTTTGAATGTACATACAACAAATAATGGACTAAAATCGGTATCAAAGAAGAATATTTTATGAAGAATCTTGCTCCTTCTCCCTGAATCCACATGTCCACTACAAGAAATATGATGCTGTGCTTCTCACCCAAACGAAAAATAGTGTGAAAATTTTGTTGCAATAACTTAAGCTTTTAGAAATTTCAAAGAAGTTTAAGTGATTTTCAAATAGCAATTAGTGCAGAAGATTTTCCCAAGTTTTCATGCAAAAAAATGAATTCTCAGAAAAAAAATGAACCTTGAAGTCCCAAATAGTCATGCTCTCATATAGCCATGCACAATATTCAAATTGGTAAAAGAATTCTTTGTGCATTTTACATACCAAACACTTCCCCGCCTCAAAACGGAAAATTCAACAAATTAAAAAACTCAACCACAGAGACTTTGTAGAAATTGTCTAAAGCACATTTAAATTGAGTTAGGTTACGTAAAGTAGCCAAGGACAGCTCCCAATGGAATAAGCACATGTTTTGAAAAGATTCCTTTCCAATAAACAAAGTGTTTCTGTGGCAATTCTAATTTTGAGTAATTATCTAATTTAATCGTTTTTGTAAAGTTCTCAACAATTACGCTAATTTCTTTTCTAAATTTAGAATTCCAATTAAGTTCCGTGCTCCCAAACTAAGCCATTATTTTCGGAGAGAGTGATAAATTATTAGTGGTTAAGGGGTATCATTTTGATGGTATCTGCTGATGAAATAAATAGAAAATTGCTCCTGATGCAAAAGCTTGTTATCAAAAACCTTAAAGGAACACAGCAGGAGGTTCAACTGTAGCAAATTCTTGACATTTATATTTCACCAGAATATCTTGTTTCCATAAGCGATACCAGCACCCCTAAATATCTGTAATCCAGTGATCTGCTCACTGACATGGACAGATCCAGTCATGTTGATAGGGGTGAAAGGTCTTAGACCTTCATAATTCATATATTAACATGATCAAATAAAAGAGCATTTGAATTAATTCAAAAAGCCCATGGTCCCGTCCCAACTGAGCTGCAGTAATGACAGTCTTTAAAATTTAATAATAATTAAAATATTTATGTCAAAATTTGACAGTTCTTAAATTTCATACTACATGTACATATATAAGCAAATCAGATTACAGATTCCTTATTAAACTAATTGTCAAGCTAGGTATTTAGTCAAACGTATCCACACCAAATTCCATAAAAATCTGACAATTACTTGGGACAGATATCATCTGGAAATTTTCATCCGGATTATGTTGATGTCATATGATAATTGACCTACAGTAACTTAGACCTACAGTAGCTTAACTCATTCACCCCTGATGACACATTTGAACTCTTCCAAGTCAAAGGTTGGAATAGTTCATTATGAAACTTCAGGGGTTAATAACTTAATACAGGCCACTTTTGGGGGCATTTTCACACTAAAATTATTTCGAACAAACTATAAGTGAAGAGTTGAAGTTGTGAAACAAACAAGAACATGACCACATTCTGTGTTTGCATGTGTCTGAATAAAACATTTGCACGATATTTGAATTCATGAATGACTCACGAAATAAGACTGATTAATTATCAGTTTTTCCTTCTAAATCGGATATTTTCAAATTGCCTTGGTGTATAAGGTTGTTGGTTACTTCAATTGATTTTAACTTGAAAGAAAAATACGTTGTTTTAACCCAAATTTAGCATCCAATTGTGCTAGTTTTCTTAACCTTTGGGCCTCGACCCCAGTACCAAACCACGTTCTGAGAGAGAAACACCAAATTTCCTTAAACAGAGTTGAACAACAGTCCAATATGGTAGTCTGTGTAGGAAAATGATTACCCCATTCTTACATATTAGCATCATTCCAACTCATCCACACACAAAGCGTACATTAATACCTGAGGACAAGAAGTTCAAACTGACACAAAGTAAATTCATATCAAACCAAAGATGTAAGATTAAAATTTTAGAATGCTGAAGAGAAAAACATCCAACTTTAGCTTGATAAGACAGAGAAAAAATGAAAATGAGAGATTTTCCAGCCCACATTTAAAATGAATGACAAAAACCCACAATTAAAACCACAAAAAAATCTGAAGGAATTAAAATCACAGATGAACTATTTCAAGTTTTAATAAGTGTTATATATCAATGTGATACGTCTTTACAAGGAATAAAAGTTTGAAATAGGAGACATCTTTTGTTTCTTTAACGAACAAAAAAAATCTCATTTTGTTTTGTTTTTTTCAATTTAAAGAATGAATCAGAAGACTTTACAGTTGAATCCCTGTTGGTGAGTGACGATCAGTATTCATTAACAAAACAAGAGTAAATTGAGATAACCCGACTCACTTGTATCCCGCCTGGTTGTTCTCAGACACGTAGGCAATGTAAGGATTCTCGAAGAACTGCGGTGAGCGATAACCAACCAGGACTTGGACAATCTCAAAATCCGACTTCTGGGTGGCATCAAGGGCAGACATGTCACGAGCAGAGACAACAAGCTCGTAAACACGCCCCCTCTCAAACTGACCATTTCCACTGACCGTCGTAATGATGCGCCCAACGTTTGTCCCATTGACGTTGACATTCTGAATAGCAAACTTCCTCTCACCAGCTGTGGAAATATCATCACATGTGTCAGTACCAGTAAAACCTTTCTATTCCATGTTTAATACAAGTTACTAAATACAAACTTTATTCATTTTATAACAATTATGAAACAAGATATTTCAACTTATATTAATCATTCTTGTTGGCCCGGATGTTAGCGCGCAGGGCGTCTTATTGCCGGAGGAAACAGGAGTACCTGGAGAAAACCTGCATGGTCAGGCAGGTGACCCCATACCATTTCATGTCCAATCAGGGAATTGTGTGCTATCCAATGCACCACCCGACCTGTTCTTTCTTAATTTGGAATGATATTTTTCTGAATGATTAACAAATGTAGGTGGCATTTCGTCCAAAACTGGTACCAGGTAAGTACAGCATACAGGTCTTAGGTCCCTGTATTTCTTGCGATTTTTCAATTTCATGTTTATTTTGAAATCTTGCTCAGGCAATTATCTTGTGTAACGAGAACATTTTAGGTATGGTAGGTAGGTACTTTTAAGACATTTTTAGATTTTTCCTGGCAGTTTGTCCTTCATGACAAAGTTTAACAGTTGGCAATTAAGCATTCTAGTCCTGGCTTGAGATTAAGCTAATCTTGTTACATTTTGTGCTGGAGAAAGCTTCTGATACTACCAAAAGGAAATAACAGACTAATTTTCTCCCAATCTTGTAAAAAGACATTACCACAATCATCAGATAGCATTTATTCCTAAACGTCAACTGATTATTAGAAATGTGGAATCGTAGAGCAGTTTTTGAGATCCAGCTGCTGACTCTACAGTCCACACTTTTGAGTGTGATCAATGAATACACGCGTAAAACAACTGCACTTGACTACAAGCACCACAGGATCTCCCCTCTATCAAATCTAAACTGAACATCATAAGCACATTAGTTCCTACAGCAAGCAAGCTTCTTCAATCTTAATAATCTTGTTTAGATTATATCCAGGTCTATTTTAGACAAGCTTCTTAAATTTTTAAGATCATAACTTGCTTACTTCCATTTCTACATCAAACAGGCTTTTTTAATCTTAAATATCATTACAACATTGCCTTATCATTTCTTGATCCATCAAAACAGTTATATTAATAACAACACAAAAGAAGTAACATGAAAATCTTGGAGATTTACCGATATTTGAAGTTATATATAATTAATCTTTGAATATCAATAGTGATAGATTGCCGTCACTAAACTTTAGGTAAAGCAATGCATTGCAGAGCATTACTAGCCCTTTCCCAACCCAATTAAGAGATTTTAGGAAGGAAGCTTTCATAAAAGGTTAAGTGTAAACTCAAGTTATTGTACAGAACCCCGATATCTCTATTTATAGTAACCATGACCTTTGAACTTTTGAAGTGAATACAATTCCTTTCCTAAGAAAGCACTTCAGACAAGGATTCACAAAGACAAGTTAAGCTCCCATTCATAATTCATTCATAATATAATTCATATTCAACGTTCATAATATTCTAAACAAAAATCCTATGATTTCAGAAACATATACATGCATTTGAAGTCAAAATATTTCCCTTAAATACAAGACAATCATTTTAAACAAGAAATGAAATGGGGGTTGATCAATGTTCAAAACCTACCTGATTCCAAAATGTATTTGATATCCGAGCCTATATCTGGGTCATATGCAAGCAGTTCGTAGACCATCTCTCCCACGCTTGGATTGGTCGACACTGTTGCCAGGAAGGGGCGTGGTTGATTAACGAATGTTGGACGTTCATCGTTGGTGTCTGTCACTTTCAGAGTGATTGTGAGTTCTGTTAGATCTGTAAGGAACCAAAAAAAAAGAACATCTTTGAATCATATGTTCAATGAATGCCTTCTAATTTACTGGCATGCCTCATGATTTATACATGTACATGCCAAATTGTGTATTTAGAGCTTTGCATCTTCATGACAGTTCACCAATTTCTATCGATGGTGAACCCAATCGTAGATTGCAAATGACAAATGCAGTTTAAAATTACTTTTAAAACCTTTTTTATCAACAAATATTGATGTATCATAGTCATGAAATCACTCTGTAAAACAAATTAATTGGCTCCTAGCTAGCACATCCTTTACGTTTGGGGGACTTGTAGAATATTTGTCATTTCTCCTGAATTCTTGAATTAAAGATGACATGAATAACAATTGAATTACACTTTGTTTCAATCTTTCACACATATTTCATCTTTCTTTTAGCTCCGATAATCTTTTTAACAGACATTTTTTTCTGCTCTACCACTGTTTCGTGATTTAACAAATTGATGTTTTGGTTGTAAGAACTTTTATAACTGTGAAGTAGATCTACAGTACAGTCACCAAGGCTTTATCTCAAGTCATATCTGTAATTAACAGGTAGAGATGTAGTCAAAGGACAATACTTTCATTTATTTATTATTAAAGAACTTTGTTATTACATGGTCTGACCACAAAAATCTCATGAATACATGCAGCGACAGAACTTTTACTATGGCAGCTAGTACACCAATCATGAATCAGAGGAAATGTTTTAATCATTTTGCAGTCTATTTTAATCCAGAGTTGTATCACTCTGACTCTCTACCATGACAGTGATGGAAATCCACGTTCCCCATACTTTCATTAAGGCCGAACCACACGGTAAATCAATCAATCAGAAACGAAATTCAATACCACATGGTAAGTTTTTTTAATTAGAGACTGCCACACTTTTCCTTATACACCTGTGAATCAGGTCAGGGAAACATCAAGCTAGATCTATACCCACCCCTACACACCTGTAAACTGGGTTAGGAGGAACACATCAACACCTCAAGTGTCAAACAACAACCTATAACCCTCTCCTCTCAGGAGGAGGTAAAGAAAACCAGATATTGATCAGGACCTTGCCTGTCTAGTGGGAAAAAGAATCCAATTTTAAATCTTGTTAAAGTTTAATGTGAGGAAGATGGCGATGGAATCCGACTTTCTACTTCATTGATTTGATACTGATCCAGCAGTAATGGCTGCCATACTGAAGCACCATTGCCAACGTTAACTGAAGCATTATTTTCCTGATGCATTATTGAGAGATTCCACCGGATCAGCACCAGTCTTCCGCTTCCCAAACAGTCGTGAGGAGGAGATATTACATAGAAATATAGTGTCTGTGTGTGTGTGTATATTTATCAATTCACGATATTGTTTTAATGTCATAAAATCATATAACATACCGGTATTTAATCTAATAAACGTGCTTGGCATGTATGTACACCAGAGCCCAGTGCAATACAGCCAACGCTATACGCAGGAAAAGGGGCCAGATTTGTGAGACAGATGGGGCCCTTACTCTCTATAAAATGGAACCTGAAACTGTCCCCTAAAATACTGGCTGGATAATTATAATGGAACAATCAAGACAAAAATGGTGACTGATAACATGGTTAGTGTATCATCAACAGCAAGTGGCATTGTTATTATGAATTTGTTTTTGGAAAACATGGCACATTAAGATTTTTATCATAGATCAAGTGAGGTAATTAATAGTTAAACACATATAAGTTCACCTTTATTTATTATTTCTATTGTTTTCTTTTCTTATTTTCGAAGTGAAGTGCAGTTATTAGAATCAATACGGTAACACTATTTAAGTTGGGGGGTTTTAAGCAGAAATGATCATGCGACTTCGTTAACCTTGGACCATTTTTATGACCTTACCATCCTTTATCTCCAATGTTATTGATTTTTCCACAAGGTGTCTGACACAATTTACCACCGACTCAACTGAACCAGTTAAAATGACATGATTACTCTTTTAAACAGGTCAATCACCAGATGGCATGATGGGAGTTTTTAAGAGTACATTGAATTATTTAAAACTCTGGCACAGCCATCATCAGTATATGCCTTTGTTAAAACCAATTAGAGATGGAAAACTTGAAAACATAATCACCTGTCAAAGTCCTATTATTACCTAAAGGATTTTTGTGTTGGATGCTTTGATTAACATTTTTACAAATTAGGGGACAGCTGCCTCCCTATTGTACTTGTCAGCCTGTATGGTGTTTTGTATGGATATGGAGTGCTATATATAGCATATGTACTAATGTGCTATTACGTGTTTGCTCTCTAATAAACCTGTAATGATTTAAAAGCAAGCTGTACTGCCTGTTTCAAATCAATATAACCTCATCCCGTAGTTTGAAATAATACAGAATCCAATCTTTCTTATTAAGAACTGATCATCAGTTGCAGCGTCTCTTCAATTGATCAAAGTCCTTTCTCATTGTCCTAAGGCAGTGTGGATGCTATAATGTCACTTCTGAAGTAAACCATTGCTCCATTATATATATAGCAGTAGTCGATTATTTGACATGGACAAGCCACAGATTCCCATCCGACGGTCCATATGCAGAAAACCTCATCATACTACCGCCTTTTGTTCAGATACATTTTGGCAGTATAAAGGGGTTTGGTAATAAATTGAGAGAAAAGTATAAAGGAATTCTTAAGACAGCCAGAAAAAGGGACATTAAAATATGTTGGCAGTAAACAAGGTGGTAAATGAAATGAGTGGCATTCTATTGAGGTCTTACAGTTATATAGACATACATAGCTATTACATATTAATGGGTTGTTGGGGTGGGGATCTGTGCCACACCCCTGTGGCCTACTCTTAGTGCAGACTACAGGCTGTGTCATTCACATGTAAAGGAAACACAGGACCTACAGCTCTGGGGTTGAGTTGTACAATGTACGTGCACAGCCTACAAAAACTCTAAAGCAGCTGGACATCACTGAAAACACTATGTTCTCATGCAAGAATTGTACCCCTTCTGTCTGGAGGCCGGGGACCAAAGGCCATGTCCTCATCACCATTGGATGGCAATTGATTTGCCTTCAACTACTGACATTTTGAACAACTACTAAAGGTATGAAGGATGCACAATATCGTTTGAAGCCACACAATGTTGACATGACATTTTAAAATTGAAGTGGCATATAACACTACACATATCACGATTTTATCTGTTCAAATCTTGTTATAATACTACAAATTTAGTCAGATTAAATCAGACGGAGCTCTAAATGCCAGCCAGTAAATTAAACTACACAGATTTGGACAGATTATACTTCCCATCACCATGTACACTGGCCAGGAGTTTTATAACACTAGCTTTTCCAAACACATCCTTCCAGCCTCTCTCAATATTGCACAATTAAAGCCACATTGTATTTAGGTCATAAACTTGCTGCACTGTCTGCTCATAGCAACTGAATCAAAAATCTCTTTCCTCTCCTGAAAGAGAGGGGATATATACAATGTGAGGAACAGACTTCATTTTTAACAAACTCCAGTAACAGTGGTGTCTGACATGCAAAGAAGCGATCGTTTCTGATGAATTTTCTTGGAAATGGAAGGATAAATCAAAGCTTTGTTATGCAATTGTTCCACAGCACTGTCAACTCTGTAACGACCAATTTCCCACCAATTTCCCACCAATCCTCCCCGATTCAACCACTTCATATTTTTTGACATATTAATGTTTAATGGTCTTTGTTGCCTGCGTACGATTCGATCTGCAAGCCTCCTGTTTACATAGAAGTAACACTCATTTACAGGCCATGCAATAACAATCAATCTTAACCCATATGCATGCAACCTTTATTATTTTTATGAATCTGTTATTCTTCAGCATCAGAATTACTCAGACCGGCCGTAACCTCACATTGTGAATCTCAGCAGAAATTATTATTTATTGATTTAGTTTAAATGTTCCAAACATTTTATTAACCTAGCTAAATATTTCAAACATATAATACTGACCCAGTTAAATGTTTCAAACATTTTATTGACTTAGCTAGATGTTTCAAATAGTTTGTTTATAAATTGATTTCTGATAGAATGATAGATGATAATAAAATGAGATTAAAAGAAGCTTCAACCAATTAGCTGATCTGAACAGTATAATTTTTGTGACCCTATAGCTATCAAATCAGGTTAATCCTCTCTTTATATGATGTTTCTAGATCTAATTAAAAGTTAATCAAGTGTCTGGGTCACCTGTCTGCATGCCCATCTGTTTCTGTCACAGGCCCCTAATTCTTCAAAAATGGAAATTGAGTTTTTATTTGAGGGAATAAACTAGTAACCGTTTTTTCAGTAATGGGTAAATTTTGTAAATTTTACCAGAGGATCTTCTATTCATGAAATTTAAAGTCTTGAATGCAATTAAGATTAGATTGCATTAATCTGGTACACAGAACTAAGCTCAAATTCTGTAATAGTTAGGAAAGAATGTATTCTTTCCTAACTATCATTCATAGGGAATTTGAGAGACATACTATTTGGGTCAATACAAATGGGAGGGGTATATATAGCCGTTCAGCACTGCAGATTTTTTTTTTTAAGATGGCCAACAGTGTATCTCAAAATTAAAGTTGCATAACAAATTGTTTCTGTACTGGTGGCCACACAGCTTTAAATGTATATAGGCTACCAGACAACTTGACCTCATTTCTACTATATATATTAAGCATTAAAATCTTTTTCTTAGTTTTCAGCTTTCATCAATTAAAAACATGTTTTTTCTTTGTTACAAGTGTTCACATACAGATTCTTCAGGCAAAAATACCAACAAGGGGAACCTAAAAAATGAAGTAAATGTCTTCAAATCAGGAGAATTTACGTCATTCAGAGTCTGATTTTGTTAACTCCTTTATGCAAAATGTTTCCAAGCTCTATAATTCAATTATATAAGCTGCCATATTTTGTTAGACCAAAGATTTTGGATCAAGCTAAAAAACATTTTACGAAGTTGTG